ATGTTGGGAATGAATAGTCTTTGGTTCTCATACTTAGCTGTGCATTAAGCAATAGAAATGGGAGTCTCTGTGAGTGACCCCATTAAGTCTGGGTTGAAATACATTAGCAGAATGAGCAAAAGTTGAATTACTGTAGCCTGCATTACAGTATTGTATTATCTACCTGGAGTTTTGGGGAGGTCTGGAGGCAAGGTGAGGCAATGGCAATATGGAATAAGTTTCCACTATCTTTAATGCTAGCAGCTTTCATTAGCAGTAATCAAAAGGACCTTTGAAATTATGAAAACTATCTATAACGGAAGCATTTAGAGATAAGCTGAAATGAATAGACATCTTTGTTATTATGGATGTTTTAGGACTAGTTCTACAAGAAACGAATTTAAGAGTTGGATTTCATGGTAGCATAACCTCTCAGTCACTCAGTAACACAATATAGAGTAGTCTGTAAAGAAAGGAGAACTCACATCACTTGTTTTCTTTGTATTTTCTTTTCACAACATTTATGATTATATGGATGTGATGATTCCGGATGATTTGAGTGAAGATTGAATTGGCACATGCTTAACTTGATTAATAATAAGCATATGCTATCATTCCTACATCACAGACTTAAAAATAAAATTACAAAGATACAGGTAGTCCTTGACTTACAACTATTCGTTTAGTGACCATATGAAGTTACAACAGCACTGAAAAAAGTGACTTATGAGACCGTTTTCACAGTTGCAACCCTTGCAGGTTCGTGATCAAAATCCAGGCGCTTGGGAACTTGGATGTATTTATAAGTTGCATTGTCCCAGGTCATGTAATCAGCATTTCTAATCTTCCTGTTTGGCTTCCATCAAGCAAAGTCAATGAGGAAGCCAAATCCGCATAACGATGGTGTGATTCACTTAAAACCTGCGGTGATTTGCTTAACAACTGCGGCGAACAGGTTGTAAAATGGAGCAGAACTACTGCCTTGCTTAGCAATGGAAATTTTGGGCTCAATTGTGGTCGTAAGTCGAGGACTACCTGTAACTATGGCTGACAGAGAAAAACCGCTTCAAGAGCTGGTTCTGAATGGACTGTCTCTGCTTTGGGCTCCTGCCTTTCATGAGAACATACAGTTGCTAAATGGTGTCAGAGGACAAAAAAAGGAGAACGTATGATCCTTCTCAAGAGCTGATTGAAAATGCTCCCTATTGTGGGCTTCCTCATTACCTAAGTGAGATTTTTATTTTCCCCAGTTACTAGCATTTCTCCTGGCAAAATTTTCTTCTTTGAATTGTTAAAGCATGGATTAGAAACAATAAGAAAAGATTTGGAAAGCTCAGTAGTTGCATGTGGCTAGTTATTTTCCATCTATTTTCCATCTGAATGTTGATACACAGAATGCAATTTTTTTTTCCTGGCATGGAGATAAAATTACCAGTGCATCTGTCCAAATTGGGAAGTCGAGCGTCTCTCTCCCATGTGAGATTTGGTGGGAGGTAGGACCTAAGATTATGGAATAGTCTGCTCCCAGGGATCTGGGAACACCCTCCCTGGTGGTGTTTAAGCTAGCAGAGAAGACAGTACTATTCCGTAAAATGTGTAACATTGCTGAGATGTGGATTCTGAAGGAGATTTGATTACATTATGGTTTTAATTGTTTGAATGGTTTTATGAATAATCAGGAGACACATAGAATTGTCAATGTATAAATATTGCAAGTAAATCAATCACTCACACAGTAGAGGAGAGGAAATTTTTTTCCTGTTTCTTCACTCTCACTTTTCTTTCTGCTGTCTAGTTAAGTTCACACAGTGTATAGCATCTCTAAACCTGGGTTAACAACATGCACTTTGTGTAATAGTATGACCCAGTTTAGAAGACCATGGGAGATGAAGTTGTAGCAGTTGCTTTAATCAAGGGACTATGCATAGTATAATGTTTTCCAAGATAAGATGGGAAAAGCTCAAGTTATTTGGGTTAAATGTCATTATTGACAGCCAACATGTATTAGCTATTAGAAGAAACTGAATCTGTGGTTTCTGTCCCTATCTTATGCTTTCCCGTGTGCTTGTCAATAATGATGACCATAAGTTTTCACTCCAACCTACAAACCTAAATAACCAGCTCTTAGTGTCTTTACCATATTCCTTGGTATATTTCCATTTATCCACTTATCCTTATTTTATATTAATCCAGACCTTGTAAAACCCAGAATTGGCAAGGAATTCATTTTTTTCCTCTTCTAGCCCTTCAATAGGCCTTTCCTGAGTTCACTTCCAACCATAGGTCATCAGCAGAATATCAGAATTATAAAGTTGGAAGGGACCTTTGAGGCCTTCTAGTCCAACCCCCTGCTCAAAAACAAAAAGTCTATTATTTCACAAAAATGATTGTCCAATCTCTTCTTAAACACCTCCAGTGTTGGAGCGCCCACAGTTCCTGGAGACAAGTCATTCCACTGATTAATTGTTCTAACCGTCAAGAAATTTCTCCTGAGTTCTAGATTGCTTCCCTCCTTGATTAGTTTCCACCCATTGCATCTTGTCCTGCCTTCAGGTGTTTTGGAGAATAGCTTGATTCCCTCTTCTTTGTGGAAGCCCCTTAGATATTGGAATATCATATCACCCTTAGATCTTTTCATCAAACTAGACATACCCAGTTCCTGCAACTGTTCTTCATATGTTTTAGCCTCCAATCCCTTAATCGTCTTTGTTGCTCTTCTCTGCACTTTTTCTAGAGTCTCAGCATCTTTTTTTATATTGTGGTGACCAAAACTGGATGTAAAATTCCTAGTTTGGTTTCATAAAGAAGTATTAACATTTCATGTGATCTTGATTGAATATCTCTGTTAATGCAGCCTAGGACTGTGTTGGCTTTTTTGGCAGCTGCTGCAAACTGCTGGCTCAGATTTGTGCTTCTAATTCAAAATCCTTTCAATCAAAGCTGCTGCTTCCTCCTCCATCAGCAGAACAATGTGTGGGACATTTCCACGGTTCTCTAGTTCAGGGGTGTTCAATGTTGGCAAGTTTAAGGCTTGTGCACCCTGAAATCCACAGGTCTTGAAGTTGCCAATGTTGGACACCATTGTTTAGATCCAATTAGATCCAAGATGCTTCTAGTTAAGAACAGACTCTACACTTTGACTTCCTTGTTTTTCCGAACAAAACTTCATAACAAGTCTATTTTAGAATCTGCATTAAGCAAGAACCATACAAGCATACATCCAGGCATGTTCATGACATTGTATGCAAGTCTTGTAATCCAGTTTATTGCTGCCACACCCCCAGTGTGCTGAGACGCAGTGAAGGTACATTTGTTACAGTTCTAAATAAAGGCAATATCATTTGAGATTCAGCCAGTAAGAAAATCCCCATCATTTTCCATCTACAGTATGTGCAATTGCCAGAGGGAACGTTAAGTAACAAACAATCGGCTCTGTGAAAGCCTTTTGAAATAACTAATTCCCTCCTTATTGTATTTAGCCCTGAGGGTAGCTGAGTCAAGGTTACTATAGAAATTTCTTTCCCCACACAGACTTGAAACCAAGTTTACACTTATTTTCATGTTAAGTAATAAAAAATGCTAGTTTCTGAAGCACTAGTTTAATATGGAAGTGAAAGAGTCAGAGGTACTAAGAATGTGTGATTGTCCTCTCATAACAGTTGGGGTCTTCAAACTTGACAGCTTTAAGACTTGTGGACTTCAACTCCCAGAATTCCTCCTCTAGTCATGTTAGCTCAGGAATTCTGGGAGTTGAAGTCCACAAGTCTTAAAGTTGTCAAGTTTGAGGACCCCGATTTAGCATAACAACTCTTATGGGCACAGGGATTATGGATATGTGATTTGCCATATAGCCTGGATATCTTATGTTTTTAAAGATTTCTAGACCGGGTGTTATATTGTTTGAACTATGTTGCCCAACTTTATTCTCACCTATGTTTTTCTGTCTTTCTATATTGATTTTGATATAAGTAATATTCTGTTTACTGCTGCTGAAATTTTAAAAAAGTTGGGCAGATTATTTTCTGTTAAATCATTTATTAAGAAACAAGCTTTGATTTACACTGTGATAACCAATGGAAAATAGCCTCACTAGATTAATGACAGTCAACAGAAACTATTAGTGAATAGAAATGTCCTTTAAATGTATAGTTCTCTTAAATGACGTGGTTGCTAATTTTATTTGACATTCAAGAATGAGAGTTATAAAATAGATACAGACGTATACAGTGAGATTTTTTTCCTACATATTATAATTTTGAATGTTTTTCGACCTTGACAACTTCTAAGATATATGGACTTTACATAATCCCCCAGCCAGCATTCCTTTTCCTTGGTAGCTGGGGAATCTTGGGAGTTGAAGTCCATACATCTATTTAAAAACCCTATTTATATTAATATAACTTAAGTGTTTATAGAATATCCCAAAGATGCTTTTTCCAAAAGGCAACTTTACTTTGTTTTTCCTTGAAGATGATTTGCTTCCAAGAAGCATCTTCAGTTCTGACTGTTTGTAGAATCGTAATACAATTTTGAAATGTGAATGGTTCAATAATTGCATTATTATATTTTACTTTCCTCTTTGAATATTTTGTTTATATGTTTCTTTTTAACATTGTCCCTGGTTTTGTTACTTTTTATCATTTTTTTTATGCTAGTTGAATTCACATTTTCTTTTTGAACAAATACTTTATTATAGTTTAGGTTTTGCCTAAAGTAGATTGTTATCAATTCTAATTAACATGCAATATATTTTAAGGTAATTTAACTGTAATGCACCATGACTTTTTTTAAAAACTAGATTTTGACAGCCAATACATGCATTTTGGCTCATAAACACATTTGGAAAAGATGTCAAACATGCTCTACTTTTCTCATTTCTCATTTCTCCACTTAAATGCCTACTTTCGAGCATGGTATTTTGTTTATTGTACTAAGAACAAGTAAAGTTTGGGGTTTTTTTGTGTCTTACTAAGGTATCTTGTGGAGAATACTTACTGCTTTATTTTCTTTTAACACTGCAGGGCATGCAAAAAATCACAGAAACCCTAAAAGACAAAACAGGGCAAAGCAGTGGCCCCCCAATAGCATGTTCTCTGACATAGAGGCCTTGAAACTTAACTTAGGGCAATTTCCTGTATCTGGCAAAAACAACACTGGCAACGTAAGGAAAAAAAGTAGTCCACGAAGAATCAAACGATTTCTCTCCTATCCCCGATATGTGGAAGTTATGGTGGTAGCAGACAGTCGAATGGCTTCATACCATGGGACTAATCTTCAACACTACATTTTGACATTAATGTCCATAGTAAGTATTAAAATGTATTTTATTTATTTATTTATGTGTATCTTGCCAGTAGTTCTTTTATAAGTTACTCAAGGTAGCAAATATTCCTAATAGTCCTTCATCCTTCTATTTTCCCCACAATAACAGTCCTGTGACAGAGTTTGCCTAAGCTCATCCCACCAGGTTTCATGGCTAAGGTGGAACTAGAACTCACGGTCTCCCAGTTTCTAGCCTAGTGCCTTAATCAGTAGATCAAACTGGCTCTCTCTATATTGTTGCGCACCTCCACTTGTGCTTTTAAATGTTATACTTGCCCACTAACCAAACTGAGTGGGTCACCTATGTTAGTGTTTTTCCTTCTATTGGTTTCTAAATGTAGAACATGATTACCCACTGTGGAATGGTTCTTTGGTCTAGAACACAACTATCCACAATGGAATGGTTCTTTGGTGTAGAACATGACTACCTGTGGTTCTTCAGTGTAGAATATGACTACCCGCAGTGGAATGTTTCTTTGGTATAGAACATGACTACCTGTGGTGGAATGGTTCTTCGATGTAGAACATGACTACCCACAGTGGAATGGTTCTTCACTCCATGGAGATGTCAACAAGACTCCTGGTTTGGATCTGATAGGTCAAAGGGAGCCCTCCCATGATACAGCCAAGTCTCTTTGTAGAGGTTGCTTTCCATACATAGAACTGACATCAAGAAAATGACTGTGCAATTGTAAATATGCTAAACTCCTGGATTTTTCCATTGTATACTGTGGGCAGTTTTGCTGGGGGAGTCCTGAAAGCAGCATTCAGTTTGAGTCTAGAAATTCCCACTCCAAACAATGAAATTACTTGCTGAAATAGTTCATTATTTTTATGTCCAAACTATTCTGTAAGATCTTGGAAGCTACATATCTTTACATTCAGGACTTTTGTTTACACATGTATATAGTTTTGCATAAGTCTTGAGGTAAGTCTTGGTTTGTGAAAACAACCTATTTTTGTGTGGTCTCTGTTTGTTCCCAGACTTATAATTTACTAAATCGCCTAAGCAATTTTTCCCAAAGAACAGTGATTTCTGGAAAAAAAACAAAGCAAAACAAAGCAAAAACCCCATAAACAAACAAACAAAAAAAACCCAAAACCTTTTTTTATCTTTTTTCTACGTGTAATGTTTTAGAGTATGTTGGTGTATTATATAAACAGAGAACATTTTTTCCTGTGTTGTCTTTTAAACCTGCTCTATGCTTCTTAAGCCACTCTTTTCGCTAGATTCCTCATTTCAACTTTAGATTTCCTTTTGGCTTTAAAGTAGCGTTATTGTGGCTTTTGCTTCCTGACCACCAAGAAGGTGCTTTATACTTTATGACTGTACAAGCTGAACTTCCAGCACCTTTATGACTGTCAAAGAGAGGATATATGAATAATGTGAGTTAAAGAAGGTAATACCAGTCTGGATAGGGAAAATTGTCAGCCAGTCTGGTAGCCCAGGGCTGTTTTCTATCTGTGCTTGCTTACTGAAAAGAAAAAAGTTATATCCAGCTCCAGTCTTGGTTGCCTGCTGCTTTATGGTGCCACATTTCCTTCTGTGTAGCTTTCACTTTTTGCTTCCTTGTATATTTGTTAATACCAATAAAAGCGGCATCTTTTTTCAAAAGAACGGAAAAAAGCTGGCAATTCTTTCCTTGCTCGTATGCTAATTAACATTTTAAATTTTTTATCTTTTACGCAGGTAGCATCTATATACAAAGACCCGAGCATTGGGAATTTAATTAATATTGTTATTGTGAAATTAGCCATCATACATAATGAACAGGTAATTGCTTTTGAGAATACTCCCTTTCTTTTGTGTATCTGCTTGTTATGTTTCCAAAAAATGCCTTCTTAATTATTCCTTCAAGGAGATGCTTTACAACATGTCATGCCTGACAATTCACTGTGTTTCAAACTGCTGAAACTTGACTGGTAGAGGCAGGTTGTTTAAATCTACCTCAGTTATGGGGCCTATATATTTTAGCTTGCATTAAAACCAAACATCATTAGCCACTATGTGTCTTGGTTGTATACATACACATATACATACCTATAAACAGATATAGGAGTGTGTAGGTAGATAGGTTGGTAGGTAGGCAGGCAGGCAGGCAGAGATAGAGATTAGAGATAGAGATAGAGAAAGAGATATATAAATAAAATGAAGAAACTGTATGTTGCAGATTCTGGGGACCACTGGACTGCAAGGACAATTCTGCTGTTCCTCAAGCTTGAATGCCATTGTTCAGGGCCTAGATGGGGGGAGGGGATGATAACAAATTGTTTTTGTTGTTGTGGGAGAGGTGACATGCCAGCAGGATCAAGTTACACATTTTCCAATTTGAGGGATCCTTGGTGCTCTCTGAGCTTGGTTGTTTTCTTGAAGGCATTTCATCAATGCTAGTAAGGATATTTTCCGATTTTTGACACGCACTGCCAGGCCAAAAAGTTCACCACCATTGATGTACAGTGAGCCAGATCAAATCAAATTTATTTATTAGATTTATACAGCACTCCCCTTTCCTCTAGATCAGGATTTTTCAACCTTGGCAACTTTAAGCTGTGATTCCCAGAATTCCCCAGCCATCATGGGAGTTGAATTCCAAACTGCTTAAAGTTGCTAAGGTTGAGAATAGGTTGCATTTCTCTATTTTCCCCGACAGCCATTCTGGAAGTTTGGAGGCATCTAATGGAGAGCAAGTGGTAAAAAGTCACCTAATGTGTTTTTATGACTAATAGTCTGCTCTCTCTAATCCTAGTCCAATACTTTCACTAGGACAGCATCCTGGGACTCAATTAAAAAGCTAACATCTTTGTTTTCACAATATGCTAACTTCAGTTGATTTTAACTCGGGCTGTTTTTGTGGGTCAGCACCTTGTATGAATGCAGGCAATTTAATTAGTTTGATTCAGCGCATTGCGAGAAGCCAGAAAATAGGTTAATTTGGCAATCAAATAAAGTGGGTTATGTGAGCCCATCTAATATGTAATTTAGCACTCAGTTTTTCTTTTTGTAGGAAAGACTTTATGGGAGAGTAAACATGCAGAGCTATTTTTCTGACAGTTTCTAGTACGGTTGATAATTACAAAAGCTGACTGTGAATCTTGTTCACATTACTTTGCGATTTTATGGCTATCCTTTTCATACTTTACTCTTTATTGAGTTTATATTTTACTGAGGTATATTTGGGGCAGAAAAATGGTACATAGGTATTTTATTATCAGAATGAGATGCCTTTTAATAAGATTTCCCAATCTGAAAAGTTGACACCAATTTTCTTGTGACAGAGGGAAGGAGGACATTTAAGGTGGATAGAAAATTATATAACCCTTATTTTTGTACCTTTTATGTTTAGGATGGCCCAGCCATATCTTACAATGCTCAGACAACATTAAAAAACTTTTGCCAATGGCAGCAAACTCAGAATCAGCTCAGTGAAGAACATCCAGATAAACATGATACTGCTGTATTGGTGACAAGGTATGTCATGGGAAACTTTCAGCTCGTGCTGAAATAACCATGTGATTGCTTTTTCCCTTCCATTCAATCATATCCAGTTCTCAGAGACTGTCTAGACAAGTTGATGTAGTTTTCTTGGCAAGATTTTTCAAAAGTGGTTTGCCATTGCAAGGGCTGAGAGAAAGTGACTGGCCAAAGATCACTCAGCTGTGTTCGTGCCCAACGCAAGACTAGAACTCCCAGTTTCTAACCTAATATTTTAACCACTACACACATTGGCTCTCAAACTTGGTTCCCCACAGTGGTACCACCCAAATAGATCCCCAGAATACTCAGTCATGGGGTATGCCTGCTGGGAAATATGGAAAGTATAGTCCTAACATACATCTAGACAGTACTAAGTTACAAAAAACTGACTTGATCTATAACAGCAAAAATATCTAGTTAAAAGCATAAGGGACTATCTGGTTGTAACTGGATTGATTTAGTAATATATCATAAACAGCCTATGCTATGGAGAACTTTTCCAGCTATCTCCATGGCCTGAATTTTGGCAAAATTGCCTAAGATTCAGAGATACTATTACCTCTAAAGCAGTAATATACCTTTCTTTTTTAAAGAGATTGTGGGGAAGGACCAGAGGTGGTATTCAGCAGGTTCTGACCAGTTCTGGAGAACCGGTAGCGGAAATTTTGAGTAGTTCAGAGAACCGGCAAATACCACCTATGACTGGAGATTTTACAGCATCCTTCCCCTGCTACGCCTACCAAGCCATGCCCACAGAACCGGTAGTAAAAATATTTGAATCCCACCACTGGGAAGGACCATATACTTGTGACTTATAACAAGCTGATCATCACCTCCCAAAACCTGACTGAAGCCAGGACAAAAATAATAGTGTTTAAAGGCATGCAGTTGAATGGCAACGTTAATTTATATTTCAGATTGTTTGTTGAATACATACATAAGATTACTCCATATGTACTTTACGTGTATTATTCTAACACTTTTTTTAAAAAAATAGAGTTCATTCTTGTTTTTGAGCCTGCTGTTACTCAATCGATATGAAAAAATATTGAAAATTAACATTGGCAGAAACAATAGATTTATTGTATTGCAAATGATGACTTGCACGGAGATTAAAGGCATTAAAAGTATGCTTTGCTTTCAGGCAGGATATTTGTAGAGCTCATGACAAATGTGATACTTTAGGTAAGCTTAATCTTTTTTTTTTTTTTTTACCCTTTAAGATGATAACATTTTTGACAGCATGTTGTGTGTCTTTATAACAAGTTCTTTTTTATTGTTTTTTTTTAATTTCCCAGGTTTGGCTGAATTGGGTACTGTCTGTGATCCATACCGAAGTTGTTCTATTAGTGAAGACAGTGGACTAAGTACTGCTTTTACAATTGCACATGAACTTGGCCATGTGTATGTGCTGTCATTTTATATCAACTTTAAAAACAGTAGTATGCAATATTGGGTAATGTATTTAAAAAGCCTATACAGGTAGTCCTCAACCTATGACCACAATGGAGCCCAACAGTTCTGTTGCTAAGCGAGACAGTTATTAAGTGGGTTTTGCCACATTTTACGACCTTTCTTGCCACAGTTGTGAAGTGAATCCCTGCAGTTCTTAGGTTAGTAATATGGCTGGTAAGCAAATCTGGCCTCCCCGTTGATTTTGCTTCTCAGGAGGTCACATAAACATGTGTATCTATATTACCTTCATGTCTAACCAATGTTGTTAATTTAACAGATCAATAAGTGGTGCAAGGGGCAGGGTGGTGTCTCAAATGTTAAGATGCTCGGTGTTGTTGACAGGAAAGCTGGCAGGGCAGATTCTAGACCCAAGCTCCACGCAACGGGATGAGCTCCTTTCCTCATCCCAGCTCCTGCCAGCCTATCAATTCAAAAGCATACGAATGCAAGTGGATAAATAGGAACCACTTCAGTGGGAAGGTAATAGCTCTCTGTGATGTCATGCTGACCACATGATCGCAGAAGTACTCTTTGGACAGAACTAGCTCAATGGCCATGAAAGGGAGATGAGCACTGTCCCCTATTAGTCAGGAATTACTAACAGAGTAAAATCTGCAGGGACTCCTTTACCTTTTATCTATGTGGTACATATCATAGACAAAATGATTAATTATATAAAGGTAAACTCCGAGTTAGTGCATTATGAGAATACAACCATAACAAATGCTGAGGAAATTCCAAGACCATCAGGCAGAATATTCAGAACAGAATAGAATAAAATAGAATAACAGAGTTGGAAGGGACCTTGGAGGTCTTCTAATCCAACCCCCTGCTTAGTCAGGAAACCCTACACCACTTCAGACAAATGGTTATCCAACATATTTTTAAAAACTTGGAGCATTTACAACTTCTGGAGGCAAGTTGTTCCACTGATTAATTGTTCTAACTGTCAGGAAATTTCTCCCTAGTTCTAAGTTGCTTCTCTCCTTGATTAGTTTCCACCCACTGCTTCTTGTCCTGCCCTCAGGTGCTTTGGAGAATAGCTTGACTCCCTGATCTTTGAGGCAGCCCCTGAGATATCAGAACACTGCTATCATGTCTCCCCTAGTCCTTCTTTTCATTAAACTAGACATACCCAATTCCAGCAACCGTTCTTCATATACTGTATTTTAGCCTCCAGTCCCCTAATCATCTTTGTTGCTCTTCTCTGCATTCTTTCCAGAGTCTCAAGATCTTTTTTATATCGTGGCGACCAAAAACTGGTGCAGTATTTCAAATGTGGCCTCAGCAAGGCATTATTTGTAGTCCCTGAACCTCCTTTTGGGGCCCTTTCCTAGCACAGTTGCCAAAAATTATTGGCACGATTTCCTGCCACTTTTGTGATACATAAATTGTAATGTTATGCCTCAGACTAGGCTTAATGTACATTGTCTTCAGGCTTTTGTCAAATGTATCAAGACCTCAAGTGATTAGAGAATACAGCTTGCTCGATAGATCTGTTGCCTGTCTCTCTGTAGTAGTTAGACCATAACCAAATTTAGCATAGTAAGAGAAGAGAATACAGATAGGCTTCAACTTATGACCACAATTGAGCCCAAAATTTCTGAATGAGACATTTGTTAAGTAAATTTTGCCCCGTGTTACGATCTGTCTTGCCACATTTATTACGGGAATCACTGCAATTGATAAGTTAGTTGTTAAGTGAATCTGGCTTCCCCATTGATTTTGCTTGTCAAAAGTTTGCAAAAGGTGATCAAATGACAGCAACGGTCATGTAAGTATCTGAATTTTCATCACATGATCATGGGAATGTTGCAAAGATTGTAAGCTCGAAAAATGGTCATAAGTCACATTTTTTTCATTGATGTTGTAACTTTGAACAGTCACTAAATGAGCTGTTGTAAGCTGAGGACTACCTGCATATGTAGCTCAATATTCAACTGTAGAGTCTTTGTTGTTCTCTGAGCTTGTTTGCTTGCTTGCAGATATTTCACTATCCAACTAGGCAACATTATCATCAGTGCTAGTGAAGGTGAGATTTGCTCACCATATTAGCTTGCCCTGCCAGCTGTTGTGACAGTATAATTTTATCCTAGATAGTTCCTTGATTAGGGTATTGCTTTCTGCTTGATTGTTTGTCTGGTGTTAATCCCTGCTTATCTAGGTGTTGGCTGCTGGGGAGGATTTTATTCTGAGTCTTTTTGTTTCCTTTTTAACTTTTTTATTGTCTCTTTTGAGTGGTGCATAAATGTGATTTACCTATATATGTCTCTTGATGGCTGATTTGTCCGAATGCCAAGCATTCAGGAATTCCCTATTATTTTTAGATTTAGCTTGCTTTAGGATGCTTACCAATACCCTAATCAAGGCACTACCAAGGAAAATGTCACATACTAGCAACTACTGTACTATATATAAACAGGGAGAAAATTCAACATTCACTAGCAGTGATTATTTTACCTAGTTGGATAGTGGAACATCTGCCAGCAATGCTCAGTCAGCATAATAAATCTTAAGTATGGCTATTAAAGTTACTCTCTATTGAATCCCAAAATGCCCTATAATAGCAGAAGGTCCTGGCTTTGCACTAGTTTCTGCAAGCAGTAAATTTAAGGCACTTTGTTCTTCTCCTAGAAGCCTGCTGGATTGAGGGAAGAGGTGGGACAGGAATTTAGTCTTATCCAATCAAAAGAGTAAAAGAGAAAAGAAAGAATGCAGTAACTGACAATAGAACAGCAAATCTAGACTTACATTTGAATCAAGCCTGTGTTCATTCAGCTGTGAATATAGCACAGCTTATTCGGCTAGCTGAATCGAAAGTTTTCCAAACTTTAATGTATACATATATACAGTACTTTATCCTAATGCATAACTGAAAATTTGGGAACTGAACTCTTTGTAAATTCAGAGATTGGATGGACTCTTGGGATTATCATAATAGTTCATCATTTTATTATCTGTACTTTTGTGTCTTTAATTATATTTTGGTTTATGTGTTTTATTATAAACTCCTGTGAGTTGCAAGATTAGCAGGATATAAATGTGCTGAATCTATAAAATAATTTATGAATTGTTTTAAATTGTTCCAAGAATTTAATAGTTTTCAGGAAAGAGCTTATTAACTGCAATAAACTAGGAAAACTAGGAGTGTTTTAATCAGTCAGTCATAGTGAATTGTAGAATTCAAAAATATTTCTACAATGGTTGCATAATATGTACAGTATGTTATAATGCAGGGCAAAATATTCATAAGTAAATGAATCTCTGAATCCCATGAGGACTGACCTCTTAATTTATATATATCTCTTGATATCATTTTGGCTACTGGTGCTATTTTGTTTCCTTGCCTGTATAGAAATTGAAATTCTTTGTTGGGATTGCTCCTGGGTTCTGGTTAGGGACAGATAATCTTGCAGAATATCTGTGTGGTTGCTGAGAGTCAAAAATAACTTGATGGCATGTAATCAATCATTCTTGAGTTCAGATATATTTAGCCAACTCTACGATAGCTCCTCTGATTATGCATATAAGCTACAGATCTTTGCTTTGGAATGAGGATTCTGGTTTACAGAAAAGAACCCTATGAATAAAGCACTTCATATTTCAAAGAAACAGGGTATAAAATTGTGTATGCTTGTCTGCAACTTCTGCACTTCTGTTTTGCACAATAAATCCTATTTAAATCATAAACCAGCAGATTCAGCTCTTTTAAACCTTGTTGATATTAACAGGGGAGTTAATCTGTCTAATTCATATAATCCGCTATATATAAAAGTATTTAATTTGAACAAATCAATTTTTTTTTACAAAAAGAAAATATTGTATAACGCAGTGGTCAACCTACTATCTCTCTTTAGATTTAACATGCCCCATGATGACAATAATAAGTGCAAAGAAGAAGGAGGAAAAAGCCAGCAGCATGTTATGGCTCCCACCCTCAACTACAACACTAACCCCTGGATGTGGTCAAAATGCAGCCGTAAATACATCACGGAATTTCTGGAGTAAGATTTTAATGATTTCTTGGTGCGCGTCATGTGATTTTTTTAAAAATAGTTTATGAGCTGCTTTTGGCATGATATTGTGGGACAGTGACATGCAAATAACTTTGATGTAATGATACGCTGTAGGCAAGTGTCTAATGGGTATGTCTGCGTGTGAGGGCGTATCAAAATACAGGCTACATTCAGAGTTTATTATATGCATGACATTACACATTTGAATTGGTTGCCATTTTCTTCTAAATGCTTCTTCACTTGTTTCACGTGCAAGTTTTGAATGTTCCTAACCGCTGTAACATTTTTTCCAGAAAAGACGTGGCTTTTTACAGAAAGAATGGAATGGAATGCAGTGCAGTGCAGTGCAGTATAAGAATAGAGTAGAGTGAGTGGGTGGATTGGAATGGAATGGAATGGAATGGAATAGAATAGAATAGAATAGAATAGAATAGAATAGAATAGAATAGAATAGAATAGAATAGATGATTAAGATGACATTATTTTGTTTTTGTTTTATCATTTTATGCTTATGTTTTATAGTTACTGGTTTTTACTGCTGTTGTGAGCCACCCAAAGTTGTTTAAGTTGGGTAGCTATATTGTGATTGATTTATGAGATCTGAATTTTGGTACACCTATACAGAAATTAATGAAATGTACTGTGCTAAAATCCCCTTAGTGTAAACCACCTGAAATCATTTGAGGTAGGGCAGGATAGAAAGGTTGTTATAATTAGCACATAAATTTAGGAAGCATATAATGAACACCCATACACGTATGAACCTCATCTCCTGAATCCTTTCTACAGATGACATGTGTATGGATCATAAGGTGCACAGGAATGAATTTCTATCCAAGCGTTTAATTTTTCCTTGGTAAAGACCTGGATAAAAAGAAAGAACTAAGTGACAAAAAGCAGAACCCACATTGAAAAAAAACATTTCTCTGAAAAAGAGTGTGATCACAAAACCTGGACCCAAAAAAGTTGCAATGATTTATTTTCCTAATGCTAGACTGTGTGTTCTGTTGTCTTCTCCTCTCCTCTCCTCTCTGGTTTTTCCCAGGTGTTTTCTAGATACTAAGCAAACTGATTTTCCATTGGGTTCATAAGGGGCAAAAATTCGGTTTTTGTAAGGATCTTCTACAAACTGGGGAAAGGGTCCCATCAAATAGTAATATCTCCCTCTTCTTTCTTTCATTCTTCTTTGGCTATACTTTTGCGGATACTTGGTAGCTGAGTTTTATATCAAAAAGAGTACTAAAGAGATTCATGTTGTAGTCCAGAACCCAGATCTTAAGCAGAGCTTTCTCCCAGAATAATAGTGCTAGCTAGGGTTTGGTAAGCTTCCAAAATTATTTGGAAGAATTGCCAAATAACTCCCAGGAGCCCAGTATCTCTACAATTCATTAAAGAAACTCAGGTGGTTGTTTTTTTTCAGTTGAGTGAAAAAAGAGATGCTACTTCTTCACAGTTAATGTGACTCTTAAGTCAGTCCCATCTTTTTCCATGCTCAAAAAAAATCCTTAGCTGTTTAATTAATAGCAGCAAAGTTCTGTGCTCCCAGGAGGTCTGAAGCCCTTCTTCCAAGTCATTTTTGAAACAAGCATTGAATTTTTTTTTTTAAATTTTATTTGAGTTTTCACAAAGAGAAAAGAAAATACAAATAAAACATCTTTTTTTGAAAGTAGCGTAATCTCGGGTTACATTTCTTCATACAGACACAAATTCAGGTTCATGCTCATTTTTATATTCTATTCCACATCTTATTACTATTTTACATTTTCTGCATAGCTTCTCCCCTCTTTTAATTTTCTCAATTTTATTTTAATTATCTCATCTCAATTCAAATCATTGTATTTATATTTTTTGTCTGTCCTGTTTCAATTATCTGTTATCTTTTCTCATTAAACAAAATTTCTCCTGTAGTTACTGATTGGAGTATGACGCCTTTATATCTTTTCCCTAAAGTTGTAACATTCAATATAATACATAACTTCCATTCGGATTCTGCTTGGTACATTCTTAAAATACACACTGTATTCTTAAAAAAAGAAAAAATTATAAATGTATAATATAATTAAAACAACATTCCATTCCAATTCAATTCTATCATTAATATTAATATTCATTAAAGTCTTAACATCTTTAACATTACTTTTCAATTAAATATCATACTTCTATGGGAACAATTATAAGCTTTCCATAGTTAATTCCCCCTCCTTCACTTATATTTTATAAAACATTAACTAATTAAAATGTTCCCGTTCCTTCCTAATTCAATTTTCTCATTTATTTTATTTCACTTATTTTATTCACAAACATTTCACTAAATTACACTAACTATTTTATCTCTCATTTTAATCATACATTGTTTCCAATTTTCTAAAGTTATTTCTATTACTAATATAAAAATACAATCTTATGTACCTTTACAGAATCCCTTTTTCAGTTAGATTGTCACCCATTATCTCTAAATAGGTCCTGTTTCTCTACATCTTGCTCCGGTCCTTTGTAACTTCTTTTCCTTTCCTTCTTCCCTCTCTTCTCCTCTCTCCCCTTTTTACCCCCTTGTCTCTCTACCTCTATTTCTCTCTTCTGTATTCCCCTCTTCTGTTGTTTTCCAGTATTATACTTATTTTTCGAATTATTTTTCTTTTCTTTGGTTGTTTTTTTAAGTCTTAAATTCTCAATTCTCTTTCCCCCCCTTTCCTTTATCTTCCCCACATAAAATTGCTTGTTCATTAAAGATGGCTTCTTCTTTGTCCCAGTCTTCTTGTTTTGCAGTCTTTTCTTGTTGTTTCTCATAGTTCCAAATCTCCATTTCTAAGAATTGAAAAACTAAGCCAAAAGAACCCTTCCCTTCTTGTGCATCTTCTTTGTACTTTTTAAGTTCCATTTTCAATTCATCCAGAAGTAGTGCCATTGTATAAATTTTTAAATAACCACCCGATTGATTTTAGTCATTCAAATATAATAACCAAGAATCCAAAGATCACCAAATAATCCACATACACGCAAGCTGTTTCTTTTTTGCTCTTTTTTTCCCCACTTTCTCTTCATGGGGTTACTATTTAGTTGCAAAGTTTCAGTTAAAATGTATCTTTTAGAAGTCTTGTTGAAGTTTTACTGTAGATTCTTTTTAATTCCAGGCAGTCTCCTCCCTCTTCCAGATCCTGCCCTTATTCTTTTTCTCTCCCTTCCTGCTGATGAAAAAGAAAATTTTTAATGTCCAGAAATCTTTATTATTCGTTTGGCATTTTGTTTTCTTTTCAGCTTAATTGCCTATTGATGTCAAAGCGGATTTTTCCGATTTCTTATTTAAGTCTCTTAGTTGTCAGTATAGGGAAGGAGAGAGAAGAAAAAAAAAGGCAAACCTTTCCGTTTTCACTTTTCTTTGCTGCTTCCGACTCTTCTTTGGTAGCGATGTTATTTTTTGTAAATTTAAATTCCAGGGTACCTTAGTTGTTGCTTTTACAATTTAACCCAGTCAGCCAAAACTTTCACTTCTTATCTTCCTCCTGCACATTCTTTTCCGGTCCAGTTCTTCTTTGAGGTGGCCATTTCTGACCACCGCTGCAACCGCCTTCGGAAACAAGCATTGAATTTTAATATATACTATAGTACTATTCTTAAGAGCAGGTGCATGTCACGAAATGCAGCATTTGATGGCATGATAGTGATTGTTCAGTTGACAGCAGCTATATGAACTGAATGCTTTACTTACTGCGGGAAAAGTGCTATCTGTTCAGTGTTAATATTCTCCTGATTATCTGTTAGTGGGAGATTTTAAAATAACCTTAATCTTCTGCCACACTACAGTAGTGAAGATAACTGTAATGCTTTTCATTCTAGCACTGGATACGGGGAGTGTTTGCTTGATGAGCCTTCATCAAGGACCTACACTTTGCCTCAACAACTTCCTGGTCACATGTATGATGTCAATAAGCAGTGCGAGTTAATTTTTGGGCCTGGAGCTAAGGTTTGCCCTTATATGGTAATGTGCTTTTTTTTACTTCTTTGGTTTGCTTATAATACGAACAACTGTTAGGTTTATCAAAACGAAAATGCCTGCTTGGTATGCAAGATTTGGAACTGGAAAAGGACCTTACTTCTGAAAAAAACATTATGGTCTGACCAGTTTAGATTTCAGTTTTTAAATCCCAAAACAGGTTTCTACAATATTCAGCCTTGTTGTCAACTCATAAAACACTTCTATACCAATTTTAGAGTTGCCACTTGTATATGTCCAGTGATTTGAGATATGTACAGGCAGTCCTCGACTTACAACCATTTGTTTAGTGACCATTGGAAGTTACAATGGCACTGAAAAAGTGACTTGTGACTATTTTTTACACTTATGACTGTTGCAGTAACCCCATGATCATATGATCAAAAACAGATACTGGCATCTATTTATGTCAGTTGAAGCATCCTGAGGTTATGTGATCACCCTTTGTGACTTCTGACAAGCAAAGTCAATGGGGAAGCTAGATTCACTTAACAACGTTACTAAATTAACAACTGCAGTGATCCACTTAAGAACTGTGGCAAGAAAGCGTGCAAAATAGGGCAAAACTCACTTAACAACTGTCGTCCTTAAGCAATGGAAATTTTGGGTTCAGTTGTGGTTGAAAATCGAGGACTACTTGTAGGTGAATGGATCACCACTCTCAAACAGCACCATCCTTCCTTCGGGAATTTTGTCAGCCTTCCCTCGTATGGCCCATGCATTCCATGGCCCAGTGCAATAGTTCTCAACCTTGGCAACTTTTAAGATAGCTGGACTTCAACTCCCAGAATTCCCCAACCACCATGCTTGCTGGAGAATTGTGGGAGTTGAAGTCCAGACAACTTACAGTTGCCAAGATTGAGAAACACTGATCCATTCTCCATCACTGGAGGTTTTCAAGAAAAAGACTGGACAACTATTTGTTGGGATGGCATATAACTGTGATGGCAAACCTATGGCACAGGTGCCACAAGTGGCACGCAGAGCCAATTGTGTGAGCTGCAAGCAAACTTACCTCACTGGGCATGCACGCGCCTCAAAGCTGATTTTCGGCCTCCCAAAGGCTTGAGGAAGGCTTCTGCAGGCTTTGCAGGCCAAAAACTAGCCCCGTTTCATCACTTCCTGTTTTTCCAAAAATACCGGAAGTGATGAAACGGGGCTAGTTTTTGGCCTGCAATGCCTGCGGAAGCCTTCCTCAAGCCTTTGGGAGGCTGAAAAAGGCCTCAAACCAGCCAAAAATCAGCTGTGAGGCGCAATACAGGTAAGGGGGTGGCGGGGATGGTGGGTGAGGATTACACACGCATGCATAGCAGGTGGGGGGGCGCATTGCCTTCTAGGTGCTGGCACACAAGTGCAAGCATGCAAGCGTGCACAAAAGTTTTGGCAGAGGAGCCCAAAAAGATTAGCCACCACTGGATATAAGAATTCCTGCCTTGGGCAGAAGATTAGGCTAGAAGACCTCCAAGGTCCTTTCCAGCCGCATGATTCTATAATTTTAGTAAAAGAAGGTTATAGCAAAGTACAGGCTATGCCTGAATAATTGCGAGAAGGCAGCTATTTGGTCAGCAATTGAGATTCTTGCAAGCAATATTTTTTCAAAAAAAGGTTCAGAAGGAATTTGTCATTGTATGAGTGTAATAATCTTTAAAATTAGGTTGCGTGTTGAATTTTTGAGAGAAAAATCCATTAGCATAAAAAGTAGGGAGCTTGTTTACAGACATTCACCTCCACCTGTTTACACAAGCAAATATTTTAACAGAGTTGCTGTTTTCTTTATACGGCTATGAAAGAGCTGTGACTGTTGCTGTCACACTCATGACCTCTTGATTATTTAATCAGGATTGAGGTGACATAGAAATGACTAATTAGAGGAGTTGCAGATTAGATGCATCATTAGTTTTATCAACAAGTGTAAAATGTCTTCAACAGTCACACTTACAGCATATACGGTATGCACATATACTGTAATTTCGGCTTTGAAAGGTGGAATCTGTTTTTGTAACTTGGATGCATAGATTGGGGCTTGATGTAGACATCTTTCAGAAATGTGGGGTTTCTAGCTCTGAATGTTAGAATTTCATACCGTTTCCCCGAAAATACAACCTACCCTGAAAGTAAGTCTTAGCTTGATTTTTACATGTGTGCCCAATATAAGCCCTACCCCCCAAAATAAGCCCTAATTAAGATCCCGCTCACTCCAGGTTGCATGGGTAAAAATTAAGCTAGGGTGGGGATAGGGGAGGTGGAGCTGCCCTACTACTTACCTTTGGACAGTTGTAGCCAGGCTCCTCACACTCCAACACCTGCCTTGCTGGCCCATTTCTTCTGCAGCCAGCAAGGCTGGCAAGGCTTTCCTGAAGGCCTCTGTAGCTGATAGCAAAGCTCCAGATCGATTTCAGGAAAGCCTTGCCGGCTGCAGAAGAAGTTCCTAAAGGCCTCTGATAGCGAAAAGGAGGCCGGGGGGTGATGCACGCAAGTGAGGTTAGTCAGGGATGACATAAGAACTGGTGCCTTTTTTGGTGGCAAAAAAATATAAGACAGGGTCTTATTTTGGGGGAAACATTGCATTTATTTAAACAATAAAGAATAACCTAATCTGACTGAGTCATATCAACCATTATGTGACCTGTGAAGCAATAGAGTTCTTGAGGATCAGAACATTTGGGGACATTTATTATCTCCAGAGGAGAGTGGCCACAGAGAAGATGCATCCTTGAGACTTTACCCTCCTGATCTCTTATGGGTAGGGCATGTGCTTTTCTTCAAAGATTGCACTGAATCAGCCATATCTAGGGTAGGAAAGATGTTCCATGTAGTTACTTGTGCTCCAAACCATGCAAGACTTTAGGGGTAATAACTAGCATGTTGAACTGGATTCAGAAGCAGAATGGTAACCAGTGCAACAATCACAACATAGCTGGGTAGCAGATGGGCCACAGCATTATGTACCATTTGGAGTTTTGGGGTTGTTTTCAACCCAGCCACATATACAGAAAGTTACAGTAAACCAGATGAGAAGTCCCTCATGGCCCTATTCTCCATTTATACTATAATAGGAGTTTAGAATCCTGAGGACTCCAAATTACAGACCTATAATATAATCCAGAATCAAACTTGGAATGAGGCTTCAGCCAGGAATATTACTGACAACTCCTATATTTCAGGGTTTTAATCTCAGCTTGTTTGATCCATCCAGGCCATTACAGCTAAGATTTCTGGGGGTTCCCCTGGTTTGCTTTAGGGATATCAGTATATGACTGGGTGTTATCATCAGATGATAATTCCTCACTCCAGACTTAGAGATGACTTCATCAAGTTCAGTCAGTATTGAACAGCATGGAGGCGAGAACCAACCCCACCTAGAAACCAAAAGCAAAATTGTTCTTCTCTCAAAGAACAACTTGTTTGAGATTAGGTCTCCAAGCCTCAGTTCAAAAGTGTATTGTGGTATTTACTTAAAGTGTATTGGCTGTGTAACTGGGGTGGTTGGTGTTGTCAGAGTCATCTCAGAGTCAACTCAAGAGATCTGCTAGGATCAGGAGGATGTACACATCCTCTCTCCAAGGCCCTAAAACATCATCCACTGGGGCAACAAATGCCATTTCTGTTCCAAGCTAAAACCTGAAGCCTGACTCCAATGGTTCTAATAAATTTGTTTCCCCTAGAATCCTCTATATCTGGATTACACCCCCCACCCCCACCCCGCCGGCAGTATCTTCTCTAAAATCTTCCATAATAAATTGGAAATTGGTCACTTGTTATCCAAAAGAACTGACTTGAGAAGTGGCTTCTTCTCAAGGTGTATACTGGGTGGCAATCTTCAATTCCATCGCCATCCTCATAGGTTAGAGAATGGTGAGTCATGCAGCATAGACATGCAGGATTGCTAGGAGATTCCCTAAGATTTAGCAAGATATATTCATCTTGTTTTGATTTCTTATTCATACACATACAGATATATACAAAGATGGAATAAACAGAATGAACAGAATAGAATTATTTTAAATGTACATTAATCAGCGTACATAAAAATAAGCAACTTATCCATGAAATTTCCCAGTGTCTACTCAGTAGTGATCTATTGAACTTAATAAAACTTACTTACAAGTAATTGTGAATTCTAAATTCTACCCCCTATGTTGTGTACAACTGAGAATAAGATATAGCCATTGTAAATAGAAATTACAGAGAAAGCTGAGTGAAATTCTGCAGAGTTGCAGCTTATATCTGTATTTTTTTTTAATAAAAATAGAATAAGAAAAATAGAATAATAAGACAATCTCTCTCTTAGGAAATAGTGACTGATAATCTATGTAAGAGGTTTTGTTTCAATGGGATTGATTTGAAAGCATAGGATGCTTAAGTCTTAATAATTTGGGGACCATCTGCCTTTCTCAGCTGTAGCATATTCAACTCTTTCTTAATAATTACAAAATTTAAAAATAGAAACCATTAATTACTTCAAGGAAAGAGAATGCAAGTATAATCCAGATGGAGAACAGTGTCAAATATTTCAAGAAGAATCTTGTCAAATTTGGGAGTCATAAAAATGTTCACTATTTCTGATTTTCAGGTTTTGTTCATTTTGCACTTTTTTCATAATGGGATTTCTGAGCATTTTGTATGGGCACAAGGTTTCGCTTTTGAATCAGGAGGTTTAAGGCACTTGAGCCAAAAATGTCAGCATTTGCAACCTTAGCCAAGTCACTTCCTCTAGTTTATTGTGCTCATTGTTTATACTTCCTTTCTCAGTGATGGTAATAACACCAGGGAGATAATCTAAAATAAGTATGTGGCCTATAGCATATGTTATACTGGCTGTTGAGTAATGCTGAGACCATTTAAAATCACTTAAGCAGAAGCAGTGCAGAAGACTATGGTGCATTAATGATGATGGAGCTCATAAAGGATGTCGTACGCAACACACACCATGGGCAGATGGGACGGACTGTGGCCTTGGAAAGGTTAGTTGGTCTCTTTGCTCTATGTCTTGCCATTATTTATGTCTTAGATTTTTATCCCACCTTTATTTTGGGGGAAATAACTCAAGGCGGCAAACATACTTAATATTCTTTCCTCCTATTTTCACCACAACAATTTTATGAGGTGGGTTGGGCTGAGAGAGAATGACCGGCCCAAAGTCACCTCACTGGGCTTTCATGTCTAAGGCAGAACTAGAACTCACTGTCTCCTGGTTTCTGGGCCAGCACTTTAACCGCTGCACCAAATAATGGTATCTGTTCATTGAGAATATCTTTAACCATTTCATTGTTTGACGGCAGCATTTTTAAACTGCTCTGTCATCAGACTGTACTCCTTCACAGATCACTTCCTATTTCCCTATTCACTAGGAGAAAAAGCTCAACTTTTTTTTTTGGAATGAGATTTTTTTTCCTTTCTGTAATATCCAGCGTTATACTGGTGACCATTAATAATGGGGCTGCACGAAGACTACTTTACAGATTATTTCTGTGAAGGATTCTCCTATATCATAACGTTTTCTTTTTAAATACTGTTGAAGGCAACATCACTCCACAATTAATTTGGAACAAGTAGGTTGAGTGTAGCGTACTGATACAACATCTGGAGCCCAGATCCCTCAATTGGAGAAAGTTTATCTTCCTTTTAAACTATTTCTGTGTTTTCTAACCAAAATGAAGCAAAATGTTTTGCTTCAGATCTGCAGATTTTAAAACTCATGGGTGTATGTAATCAGTAAAAAACAAATAAAGAGAATACATTTTAAGACCTAAAACCTGAGACACCAAAAAAAAAACCCAACCCTGAAATTAAACCAACAACGTTATACAAATATCTGCTTTAAACCTCTTTCCTATAGCAGACAAACTCATGTGATGTGTTAGACATATTTCATGTGTGAGAACACTGAGCTGGATAGTATTAAACCAAATAATAATCCAAATTCTAAACTTTTCAGACAAATATCTGTTATACAGTATTTGTTTACTTCAGGGTTATCATGCTGCTGCTATGTTATAAAAAGCAGATATATTTTTCAGAATATGATTATGCCATTGCATTTGCACATCTAAATGGGAAATATAATCTGTAATAAGCTTATCATTGTTGGGAACTCAGTCATAATAAATTTCTCACAGGAAAGGGCTTGCTTTCTGTTACTTCTAGTTGCTTAAAATGTCTTGTATCAATCCATTTGGCAATGGGCATACTTGCTTTTCAGCAACTTTAGTACATATGGAGCTGCAAAGTATTCTTAAGGGATAGTGCTATCTCAATTAACATCATGTATATGTTTTTTTGTCAGCTGAGGTATTAACAGGCTAGTGCAGAAGGATAGTGAGTTGATTTTCTTTAATTTTCAGGCTGTCTCTTCCATTTGGAGTCTACTGGGTGCCCATAAATGGTGTGCAACCACTTATGGCTACTTATAGCCTTTTAGAAGGCTGACTGATTTTAAACTATCCAGATCAGAGATGTGAAGCCAAACTAACTAAAAAATACTAGACTTAGCACTGCATCCCAGAACAGCCTACCCTACTATTTACATTCCTTGCTACTGCGCTATTTAGTATGATAGTTTATGCATAAAAAAAATCATTCTGCAGATAAAACATTTTCTGTTGAGATATTGTAATATCTAACATGTAACTGAAAAATAGACTGATTGTTTTCCTTAGAAGCTATCACATTTTGATTTATTTATTTTTCTGGATCGGTAAATGGGCACAGCCAAAAGAATAGATCACCCAGTCTTAACAAATAAACTGCAAGTCCTTGATAAAGAGAATAAGAGCTGTTTTTATTTGCAAAATATTTATTGTTATTATTATTGTTGTTGTTGTTGCAATGCAAGCTACAAAATTTCAGGGTTTATCTTGCCCAGCCACCTGAATTGCACACTTGTCCTTATTTTATTTTATTTTATTTTATTTTATAAAGCAAGGGAAAGACTGAAAGCTTCTGGTTCTGTTTTGTAACCAGTTCTGTTTTGTAAGCAATTACCTGTGATATCTGAACTCAGAAAACCATTGTCTCTTTAAATTCTGCTATTAGAAAAAGGATTTGACAATATGACTTACCTTAGTATTTGTATTAAATGTGTATAAAATGAAAAAAGAAAAACCAATGGCTTGCCATGAAGTATTCATCAAAGTAGATCCACATCCTCACAATCCTAATAATGGTATGATTAATTATTTCTCTTGGTACAACATGAAATAGCTTCATTATCATGAAAAATACTGCCTACTTTAAAAACAAAGTATTTAGAGGTGTAAAAAGTGTGCCTGAATTTAAAAGGCAGCATGTATGTGCATGTAGAATGTATATTTGTGTTTCCACATCTACTTTAGAAATAATAGAAGTTTTGTTTTTGCCAACTTGGCTTTAGTAAAATTCACTCATGAGAATACCACTTCAGAGTAGGACAGTAGGACAGTAGACTGCTCTGAGGACAATATGGCTAGACACTGCCGATGAAATAGATTCCATTTCTTTAAAAAGGTATGATACTATTTCGTTTGAGATCAGAGATAGCGGTGGCTCAGTGACTAAGACACTGAACTTGTCGATCAGAAAAGTTGGCAGTTTGGCCTTCGAATCCCTAACACCATGTAATGAAGTGACTCCCAGCTCCCGTTACTTGTCCCAGCTTCTGCCAACTTAGCAGTTTGAAAGCATGTAAAAATGCAAGTAGAAAAATAGGGACCACTTTGGTGGGAAGGTAACAGTGTTCCATGCGCCTTTGGCATTTAGTCATGCCAGCCACATGACCACAGAGACACCTTTGGACAGTGCTGGCTCTTCGGCTTTGTAACAGAGATGAGCACCGCCCCCTAGAGCCAGAAACGAGTAGCACATATGTGCGAGGGGAACCTTTACCTTTATCTTTGAGATCAGAGACAGGAAAAGTCACATAATTTTTTCAAGGGAAGCAGTGTTAAACATTTTGTCTTAACCATACAGGTGGTCCTTGACTTACAACCGTTCATTTAGTGACCATTCAAAGTTACAGTGACACTGATCCTTTTTCATGCTTCTGACCATCACAGCAATCCCCATGGGTCACGCAACTGACTCAAATTTATGATGGTTGCAGTGTCTCAGGATCATGTGATCAACCTTTTGCAACCTTCTGACAAGCAAAGTCAACGGGGAAGCCAGATTCACGTAACAACAGTATTACTAATTTAACAACTGTGGCGATTCACTTAAGAATTGCTGCAAGAAAGGTCATAAAATTGGACAAAATTCATTTAACAAGTGTCTCACTTAGCAATAGAACTTTTGGGCTCAATTGTTATGAGTTGAGGATACCTGTACATTCAAGGAATATTAACAACATGTTGTTAGAGCATATTTTTGGTAGGAGCAAGTTAAAAGAAAGAACATTTTATAATTTATTCTTATGTCCAGAAATTTCAGTTCAATGCTAATTTATTTTAATTTTATTGGCATTATTATTTTTGTTCTGTTTCTTTTCATGTACACTGAGTACTTCTGAACCAGGGACAAATTCCTAGTATGTTTAATCATATTTGGCCAAGTAAAGTATTCTATTCAATTCAATTTCAGTTCAATTCAATTTCAATTCAATTTATATAATTAAAACTCACAAAGTTTCTAAGGCAATCAGAGAAGATACAGTAATGATGTCCCTGCAACAATAGAACTGCATACAGCATAGATCTTGGGCTTTCTGTTATATGGTGCATAGTTCTGTGTTTACAGTATAAAAATGCCCCTACTTTAAAAGCCATTCATTCTAATTTTCTGAAAACCATTCTTAACTGTTCCACACTTAACTTTAAATGCCTTTGGTTAGCTTTTTTGAGTTAGCCTGGGATTTCACTATCTCAGGTTTGGCTGAAAAGAAATCCTTTGGGGTGAATCTCTGCTTCATTTTATTCTACTGAATAGGTTTTCCTCCCCTCTAAAGAAGCAAATAGATTCTGATCTCACATATTGTGGCATCTTACCACAGGCAATATGATCTCTTGGCCCAGACTAATTGAACTCAGAGGACTTGGGATTTACATGCAGAAAATGAGAGTGCCCAAATGATCCATCCCTATTATATGTAATTTGAGGTTGCTACTTCTATAACGACCTGAATATCTCACATAGGAGACTTTTCACCTTGACTTGAATTCGTGCGATGGCTAATATGGAGACTCTGGGCAAATATATTAGTCTCCCATATAATAACCATATGTGCTTCTGCTCAGATACAGAAGTAGAATCAGTAATTGCTACACTGCATGTTGTATCACCCTTGCCATCTGACCCTTATATAAACCCTTTGCCCATCCCATGTGCTGAATGCATCTAAGAGGTAACATTTCAGTCAAGATACCCTGTTCAGAGTATATACAAATACCAAAACATTGCACTTTCCATTTTTTCTGTGTTTCTGTTTTTTAACTGAAGAGACTACAAATGTTGCTTTAGGATAATATGACAACAATAATAATTAGTGAATTATTCATAGATTTATGTTATTTCATTTGTCAACATGGGTAGAGCCATATTTTTAACATTTGAATTTCTTTTTCCCATTTGTGGTGCCATTACATTTTTTTTAAAGTTCTGCTCTTTGTTTCTGCCAATCTAAATTTAATTGTCCCTCCTGCTGTCACATAAGCATATGATACTGGATCATTATAAAAGATGGTTTGTCTATCAAAATCTAGGCTACCAGCTTTCTCTCTGTGATTTTTGTAAATCAAAACTTAATTTCCTCTGACATCTTGACATGATATATTTAAGTATGAAGGAAACTTTGAAATATCATAAAAGCTGGATCTTATCTATGAAATATACAAGTGGCGGGGAGAATTTTAAGATAAACAGGTTTTCTAAATCACTGTATCTTAACAAAATCTTTTGAGTTATTTTATGCATAGCTTTTTATTCTTTTCATATTCAGTTGCTGCACAATGACTACAATACAGCATCAGCTAATAAATTTTGCATCTGAAAAATATGGTAGTAGAAATCATTAAAAGTCTGTATCTGTTACAGATTTTCAAATGCCAGTGCCACTGAATTATCTATTATTATTAATTACGTTGAGAAACATAAGTATTTCCAGAGTAATGGAATGTTTTCCTAGTTTCAATTGTTTCAAGTAATTTCAATTTTCTAAAATATTTATTACCTAGCCCGGATATCTCTAGCTTTTTAAAAATGTATTTTATTGCATATGTTTATTTATAAATCGCTTTTTGTAGTACATTTAAAAACTGCAAGAAGAAAGAATTGTAGTAAGACAGCAAAGTAATAGATTGACATAATTTTGGATACTAATGAAAATTAATCTGTTTCATTCAGAATAAAACTATCTCTCTCAACTCATTTGAGAGCAAGGAAGGCTTATCTTTAGGGAAACATTTTACAAGTATAACCATAATGAGCCACAGTGGCGCAGTAGTTAGAGTGCAGTACTGCAGGCTATTTCTGCTGACTGCCGGCTGCTTGCAATTTGGCAGTTCAAATCTCACCAGACTCAGTCTTCCATCCTTCCGAGGTGGGTAAAATGAGGAGCCAGATTGTTGCTTAGAGAGGGCTGTAAAAGCATTCTGAAGTGGTATATAAGTCTTAGTACTATTGCTATAACAATCTGCTAGCCCTCAAGGTTAGTCCAGACAAGAAACATAGCAATAAATCCAGCTCTATCTTTATTGGAAGGTTACATTTAACAGAATCTTGCAAGTCTGAAAGTACCCTCTTGCCCTCAGTTTTACTCACACAAAAACTAAAGGGGGGTTCCTTCTGACACAGCTTTGCCACCTCTCCTCCTTCAGATTCAAATTTCATTTTTCATTTATATTTAGGCTGCCGCTCTTCTTCTTGTTTCCCAGGTCATTACCACAGCCATTACAAAATTAGAGAAAGATATATTTCAAAAAGATTGTAATGTGTGTGTGAGGAAGAGATCATCTGTTGTATTTTAAGAGGAAGTGATACGCTACAGGGTCTCTGACTTACAACCATAATTGAGCCCAGTATTTTATTGTTGTTGTTGTTACAGACATATATCTCCATGTGGCTGCACTCAGTTTTACATCTGTTTATATTATGCTCATTAAGCGAATCACATGGTTGTAAGTCTGAATTTAGCTTTTTCAATGGGTGTTCTTTGCCAGAAAATGGTGAAAAAAAGTTGCAAAATGCAATCACCTGACCATGGGATGCTGCAACCGGTTGTAAATCTGAGTGCCCAACATGTAATCGGGTGGCTGCTGGTGGGGTACAGCAGTCATAATTTCAAGGATGGTTTGTAAATAACTTTTTAGAATCTGTACTTGTAACAGTTGTAAGTTGAGGACTGCCTAAGGCAGGGCTGTCAAACTCCTGGCCCATGGGCCAAATGCGTCATGTGCTGGACATGCCCACGCCCAGTTAAGCAAAGGGGAAAAGAGTCTCGATATGTCACTTGACGATGTGAATTTGACACCCCTGATCTAAGGTAGACCCCAGCCTAGTTGAAAATTACAGACCAATCTCCTTATGCTGCGTCACCTGTAAAGTCATGGAATCAATGATTAACCAATCCATTATCCTCCACTTAGAGACAAACAACCTACTCTCCAATAAACAATTTGGTTTCAGAAAAAAACTATCCTGTAATCTGCAACTCTTACACTGCAAAAATATATGGACTACACAACTCGATCAGGGCAAAGCAATAGACACAATCTACATAGACTTCTGTAAAGCCTTTGATTCAGTGGTATATGACAAACTACTCCTAAAACTAAAATCTTATGGTATCTCTGGATACCTGCATAACTGGATAGAAGCATTCCTGTCAAACAGACAACAGATGGTCAAAATTGGAAGTGTCCTATCAAATTCTGTACCTGTCAATAGTGGTGTCCCCCAAAGCAGTGTTCTAGGACCAGCTCTCTTCATACTCTACATAAACGACCTCTGTGATCATATTAAGAGCAACTGCGTTCTCTTCGCTGATGATGTAAAGCTGTTCAATACCACAGACAATACTGCTACCCTTCTAAAAGATCTTGGCTATGTATCAGAATGGTCAAACAAATGGCAACTTCAAATCTCAACAAATGAATGCTCTGTCTTACATATTGGCAAAAAAAAAACAGAAAATCAAATACAAACTGAATAGTCAAGACCTTGTTGATGATCCAAGCTCTGTAAAGGACCTTGGAATACTCATCTCAAATGATCTAAATGCTAGAGCCCACTGTAACTACATAGCCAAAAAGGCATTAAGAGTTGTTAACCTAATCCTACGTAGCTTTTTCCTCTGGTAATATCACACTATTAACTAGAGCATACAAAACATTTGCTAGACCAATACTCGAATACAGCTCATTAGTCTGGAACCCGCATTACGTATCTGATTTTAGCACAGTTGAGAAAGTCCAGAAATATTTCACAAGAAGCGTTCTCCATTCCTCTACTCGTAGAATACCTTATGCCACCAGACTTGAAATTCTAGACCTAGAAAACCTTGAATTATGCTGTCTTCGGTCTGATCTAAGTATGGTATATAAAATCATACATTGCAATGACTTACCTGTCAATGAATACTTCAGCTTCAACCATAACAACACAAGAGCACACAATAGATACAAATTCAAGGTTAACTGCACCACACTTGATTTCAGGAAATCATGTATTCATAACTATGTATATACTTATACCTATTATCTTGTAAGCAATTGACAAATCAAAATAAATAAAATAAATACATAAAATAAATAAAGGTAAAATTGTTTGTTCTTGTTATGATGGTGAGAAGTCACTACTTTATTTTTTTTTTCTTTCCGTTATCCTTACTTTTCTTTCTTTTCTGTTGTCTCCTTGTTTTTCCCTTTTTTCCTTTCTTTTTTGCACCGTCTACTCTTTCCTTTTATTCTACTTTTTTAAAGTTTTTTTTTAAGCTTGTATTGCTGCAATTACAATCTTTAATAAAATTGCTATTAAAAATACTGTAATATGCTAGAATGAAGCCTAACTGTACAATAAAATAATCTTGTTAATAGTTTTCTCTCTCTCTTTCTCTTTCTCTGTCTCTGTCTGGTCTCCTGTCTGGAATTTAGCATTGCAAGTATGGCCACTGTGTTCCCAAAGAGCGAGAAGTACCTATGACAGATGGGGTTTGGGGCGCATGGAGCCCCTTTGGAGTTTGTTCACGAACATGTGGTGGAGGAATTAAAAATGCCATTCGAGAATGCAACAGGCCTGAGTAAGTACAAAAAGTTAAATATTACAGCTCTCTTACCACAATTTTAGGTTTTGTAATAAACCCATTATGAATGGGCAGCAACCTGTCTGTTTGCTGCCCAGCAAGTATGTTTCTTCTTACTATATGTGTGGAATCTGGATGAAGTATTTAACAACTGCATTCCTATATGAAGCATTGGGAATAAACTAAGTTTAAGCTAGGATGAATTGTGGACTTAAGCGTACTGACTTCTTGAGGTTTACTGCATATAATACTACATGAAGTTGTCTATTTCTGACTTGTGGTTAGCAATCATCTGAAGCGGGAGTGAAGCTGCCGTGAGTAGGCCATAAGCATCAGAAAGTTGCTTGTTCGCATGACAGAATTCCTGGCTTTAAAATAAAAAATATGGAAGCAGCCTGTTAGATGACAAAAATAATGAGGAAGCTATAACATATAATGAACACTCTTCTCTGAAAACCCCAAATGTATCTTGATAATAAAATATGCTGCCCCACAAAATATGCAGGTTTTTCACAGAACAGTAGGGGGTAACACTCTTTGTGAAACCCATTTCTTAAAGAAGCTTGCCAGTTGGCTCTTCTGAATTTAGTTTAGAGCAGTGATACATTTTATTTTAATTTGGAGTGTTTTATCGTGGTTGAGTCTGTTTTTATGCTGTTGCTAATTTACCGTGTTGAATATTTTAGAATGTTTTGAAACATCATCTGCTTTAGAATTTTATTGAGGGACAGGATATAAATTCTTATAATAGATAGCTAGATTAAAAGACGAATAAATAAGAACACTGTATGAAAGGCATTTTGGTAAAATGGATCAAGATATCACAAATGATTCATGTAAATAGGATTATGAAGACGATGAACAGATGGCACACAGGCAGACATATAGTATATGACAAACAGATTGTACACATGCATACGTATAGTGTACATACTGGGGACAGCTGTAATCCAGTGAAGTGTTTCAACGTGCATGCAGTGAAACACATGTTTTATTGCATAGGTTGGTGTATGTATAGGTTTGTATTTAGATTGGAAATTGCCCCAAATTGGGATTAAATCTGAAATGCATTTATGAAGACTGAACCCCCAAGACTTTATTTCATTGCCAAAGCTCAACTCTGAACTAATGAAACTGGGACTTAGTTCAGAACTGCTCCAGCAAAGCTGTGATTTGCATTGGGGGAAAAACAGTCAAATCAGATATTTTTCTTAGAAGTACAGCTAGAATGGAAAGTGGAGAATTTACCTCCCCTGCCTGCTGCAGTCTTGATCACTTGAGACTTTCAAGAAGAGATTGGACTGCCATTTGTCAGAAATGGTATAGGGTCTCCTGCTTGGGTGGGGGGTGGGGAGTTGGACTTGATGACCTACAAGGTCCCTTCCAACTCTGTTAATCTGTTAATCTGATAATCTGATACTACTACTACTTCTTCTTATGCCATATCCGGCATCGGATGTTGGCGATCCTATTTTTATCAACAGCCGCACGAAAAAGTGCTGCTGAGTTTTGTCCAAAGCAGTCCCTTAGATTTTGAAACCATATACATATACTTATTTCAGTTTATTTATTTTATTTATTTATCTAATGTATATAACTGCATATCTCACAAGCAAGTGACTCGGTGGTATACTACAAAACTAAATTTGAACAGAATAGAATACTTTATTTGGCCAATTGTGATTAAACACACAAGGAATTTTGCGTGTGGTTCAGAAGCTCTCAGTGTACATGCAGAACAACAGAATAATAATCATAATAATGATACCAATGAGAGGAGGTGGTAGAAAAGATGAGAAGGATAATAATAGCCATTCCACATGGGTAAATATACTTAGGCATAAGATAGTACTGTGGGAATTAGGTGTTCAGTAGAGTGATGGCATGAGGGGGAAAAACTGTGCCTGGTTGTTTTGGCATGCAATGCCCTTTAGCAGCATCCGAGAGGAAGAGTTGAAACAATTTATGCCAGGATGTGAGAGATCTATAGATATTTTCTCAGCTCTCCTTCTGACCCTTGCAATATTACAGGTCCTTAATGGAAGGCGAGCTGGTTGCATTTGTTTTTTCTGCAATCCTAGCCATCCGTTGAAGTCTGTACCTGTCCTGTTTGGTTGGAGTACCAAACTAGACAGTTATCGAAGTACGAATGACAGAAGCAATAATTCCTCTGTAAAACTGTATCAACAGCTCCTGGGTTGAAAGAATAAATATTTAAAATTATTATCATTAACAAATATTAAGAACATTTTAATTTAGCATTAAACTTAAATCATAAAATAATGCTAATGCTAATGCTTGAGTATCTTTGCAAGTGTCTTTTTTCATTTCTGCTTGTAGGCTGTCATCATATCACAAATTCTTTGAAGCCCTTTGTGGTCTCCAAAGAATAATCTCCTGTAAAGAATAATCAACTGCTATGATTAGGAATTATTCCATTTTCTACTGAGAACTATAGGCAGTCCTTGGCTTACAACCATAATTGGGACCAGGTATTCTGTTGCTAAGTAGAAAGTTATTAAGTGATTTTCACCCAATTTTACCACATTTTTGCCATAGCTGTTAAGTGAATCATGCAATTGTCAAGCTTCCCCCATTGACTTTGCTTGTGAAAATCGGCTGGAAAAGTCACCAATAGTGATCACATGACCCTAGGATACTGCAAATAAATACATGCCAATTGTCAAGGGTCTGAATTTTGATCACATGACAATGGGGGTGCTTCAGTGGTCCTAAATATGAGGACCAGTTGTAAGTTACTTTTTAATGCTATTGTGACTTTTGAATACTTGCTAAACAAATAGCATTGCCTTACTTCTCTGGATTTTTGTCACAATCAATGAAAATAGACATTTTCAATAGAGTATTACAAACCCATTCAAAAATGTAGCATTCACAAAAAACAAATCAGGAAAATATTATATAGGACTGCTAAATGTAAATGCAAACCTGTGGAGGACCATAAAATGCTAGCAAAGAGATGCAGAACCTTTTATTTTTTGCTGCCATTTTGCTAGCTGCCGAGACCTTTGCAGTTCATGCTGGAGAACCCCTGCTTTAAGCCAGCAGAATCAAAACAGTGAATGGCTTTTTTTTTTTTTGGTACCAACTTAAGAAGCTGTTACAGATTCTGCAATGTGGGTAAAAAGTGCTTTCCTCAGATGAGCAACAACCCTAATGACACCCAGCTCAGCTATTTTCTTGGCCTGAGTTGGAGAATATGGTATACAAGGCCTGCTCTGGGGTAAAAAGGAATTACGTAATGTCTGGAGAAAATAAAGTCTTATAAATATTGCTTTAATAATCTGCTTCCATACCATATACAGTCATGGGAACTGGCGTTAGTGTATGATTTGTCCTTCTACAGGACTGACCCTCCCAAGCACAAATCATCTCAAGATAGCACCTACATTAGGACCATTCCACTGTTTCACTGCTTACATTTTATTGTTTATGGTGGCTCTGAGTAAGCCATGATACCTAATACATCAAGGCAAACTTCTTTTAGAGAGTTTTAATCAATTTGCTATGTAAGGAAAAATTTAAAGACTCTTTAGATTGTCTTTTCCAAATTGGTCCTTTTAGAACAGTTGGAATTCACCATAGATATACAGCTGTGAGATGTTTTGCTTGTTTTGGTTCAACCTTCTGGTTGGAGAAGATTCCTAGAATATTGACACCTTTTTGTGCCTGCAAACCATGACCATGGTTTTGGGGAGAATAAGGATGGCGGTTAATGGTACACCGCTGCAGAGAGGTAGAAATATGTTGGTAGAGGCAAAAACTACAGACTCTTTCTCTGTTTTTACACCTATCTGCCAGATGTCACGAGAATTCTGTCAAGTTGGTGTTATAAGATTGTTAATTCATGGTTGGGAAATACATTGGGAAATACATTTATATTGGGGGGAAGGCTGTAATAAAGATGTTAATGACATGGAACAAAATGTCATTTTGTTTCATATTTAAAGGCCTTAAATATATTTTTTCAAATAATTTTTGCATATGAGATACAGCATCCATTCCCAAACACAGGTGTTCAAATGAATAATATTGTTTATAGTGACGGTGGAAGCTTATGCCAAAACTAAGAAAAGGATACAGAAAAGAGTGAATTCATTAAGTTCCAAAAGTCCCTATGCCTGACAATATAAATATATGGTTTCTAATATACTGTACTACTTTTTATATAACCTGGAAATGATTCCAGTTTTAAAATAGGAAATACCTCTAGGCCAGGGGTGTCAAACTCACTGCCTATGGGCTGGATGTGTCACATGCTGGTCCCACTCCCACCCGGTTTATCAAAGGGGAAAAAAATCCCATGACACCACCATGATGACTTGAGTTTGACCCCCCTGCTCTAGGCTATCTCAATAAAACTTAGTGAATAAAAGTTAGGACTTCACAAATGTTTTAAAATTTCTTTTGGTTCACAGTTAAATATCAGTTTATGGGAATACAGTGTGAAAGGAATTTACCTTTAAAATAGTTTCTCATCTTTGCAACTGGAAAATTATACTTTGCAATAGATGCATGCTTGGTTAATTAAAAGGAAGCAACAACAGGATTAGGTGACATTGAATTTCATATATATATATATTGCAAGATTGCAATGTAAAGGTACTTTACTTGCTAATAAGCTCTATTGAACACATGGAAATTGAATTTTTTGGGGGGGGACATGAATAAAGAACTAGGATAAACAGCTTCACCCCTTCCTGTCTTCTGAGAGTAGAGATGACAAACTGGTGGTTTATCATTGTCACATCTTCCCGTATCTGCAATCACAATTTGAATGAAGATATGTAACTGGTAAAGCAGCTCATTTCTCATTATTCAATTCCTTTTGATCAAGCCTTTACTCTCTTCTTCATATTATTGTTGGGATGGGTTGCATTAAAATCTGGAAAAGTAATGGACAAAACTTCAGTCATATGGAGCATTTACATGCATTCTGCTAAAACCAATATTTTTTGCACATATCTTCATTCAGTATATAGATGTTAGAGGCAGGGAATAGCATCAAAATAGAGATACTCCTCTTTTTGTCTTCAGTAGTTAAGTCTTGTATCTGGCTACCTCCAGCCAAATGTTTGATACTCAAACTTATTAGTTTTAAGAAAAGACTATAAAAGAACTTGATTGACCATCCCTAAACCATAAGATAGACTTTGGCATAATAATCTGTTGGTTAATGATTCATGATGAAACATTAATATGTTAAAAAAAGTTTATTTGTAAAGCTCAAGTCAACTTACAAGTCATGATACAACAGAGATCTTCTAGGCCTTTTTGAAGTGGGATTAGGTTGAGATTCATGTTTGCTTGCTTCTAAGAAAAGCAAGATTAAGCCTGAAATTTTCCAAAGTCTCATAACTTCGTTAGACTATCTAGGAGCAAGAAATGGAAAAGAAAGCCATTTCAAAGCAGTACGTATTAACCTATTCATCTCAGTTGACAGAAAGTTCCATCATAGCACTCTGAAGTTTGTAAATGCTAGCTTGGAAGAAGAACCTGGCATTGTACAGTTAGTGACAATTTTGTATACATATTATGTTACAAAAAGCAATATTGTATTAAAAAAACAATATTACCTCTGATGTTAAAAAAAACCAATATCCTAGGGAGAATAGTATTCCTTTCAGAAATTATTGTAGGTGGCCTTCAAACCTAGTTTTAAATTAGACAATTCATTATTGATAAATTAAACAATCCATTATTGTTTACTGACGTCAGATTAAAATTGCATGCCATCTTAATTAAAGTTATCTTAGTATCATGCGTAAAAGTTTTCAGGAGAGATTGTTTATGCATACAAACCTCATAGGTATGTTTGTTTTAGAAATAGATTCCCATATAATTAATTATATGACTTGCTCCAGGCATCACTGTCTTTGCAGAGTGGGAGGGGCAGAATGCAAATAGTATGGTTTATATAAGTGCATCAAACATCAGGATGGATGTACATAACAAGCAGGCTTGTGTTGTGATGTCACAACATACATGTAATTTTCCATTGTTTTTCCTCTGGATGCTTACATAAATAGGTATGGAATTACATTACACCTTTGGCAATTATAATGGCACTAAATGAACCCTTACATGACAGTCCAATGTTGCAGTGCCCCTACAGTTATGTGATCAAAATTTAGGTGCTTGGCAATGTGCCTACCCTCACGACAATGGGAATACTGCAAACAAACACACACACACACACACACACACATACACACACACCCTTAACGGTAGACTCCTCAGCTGCCTAGGAAACTTCACACACACTAGAAGGCCTCAACTGATCGAGCAGGCCCAACCAGGTGCAGGCTCCAATCTCCCCTCTTTCACGAAAGGCCTGGATCTTCTGTTTGCCCACCATGCCAGAAGGCACCAGGTGCCTACTCCTAGATCCAGTTATCTTTCCCTTTCCTTATGGCTGCTGACAGGTGTGTCCAGTTGATGTGAGGCTCAGCTAGAAAGCCTGGAAGAAAGACATCTTCCTCATGGTTAGAGAGACAACCTTTCTTAAGGGTGGCCAAGAACAGGAACTGGCTTGTGCTGGGACATTCTGGGGATGATGAAGAGGAGGCCAGGGAGAAGCCTAGGCTTTCTGGGAGTGTGGGGAGAGAGGGGGGAGGGAGGGTGGGAGAGAGAGAGGAGGCCTGCATGCCCCTGGGTCTAGCCAATTGGCATAATGGCACAGGGAGAACCTACTGCTGGGACCTGGCTGGCCAAGTCCTTCAGGGCCCCAGTAGGTTTCTGCTTACAGTTGGGTGCTGAACCTCCCAAGACTTCCCCCTTAGGCACCTTTAACAACTGCAATGGGGAGAGCTGGGATTGTGGTCACTGAGCAAGGCAGTCATATGGATGTCTCATTTGACAAAAAACATGTCTTGCAACTAAGATTCTGCTGTTGTAAATTGAGGTCTCTCTGTATTTCCTGGCACATTATTAAGCCTTGGAAAAGAAATGAAAAAAAAAAAGAATTTTCATATTCTCCGTAAATGATGAGCAAGATATGAAGTACAGCATGCAAGTTAAATATCCATTCAGGGCATGGATTGGATTTATGTATGTATTTATTTGTATCCTGCCTTAATTATATCAATAACTTAAGGTAGTGAACATACCTTTCCTTCTCCTATTTTCCCCACAACGACCCAGTGAGGTAGGGAGTGCTAAGAGAAAGTTATTGGCCCAAAGTCACCCATTTGGCTTTCATGCCTAAGGCAGTACTAGAACTCTCAGGCTCCTAGTTTCTAGACCAGCACCTTCACAACTACACCATACTGGCTCTCTTGAATGGCCACATACTTCATAATTTTCACCTTACCTATTTTCCTAAGTATTGGAAGGTGGCATTAGTGATTCACAATCAGATGCATGCACTTTTTTAAAATTCTGCCTGAAAATAAAGACATAGGGGGAAAAAATCTAAATATGATTTCTAAATATAGGGTATATTTGACAGTTTTACCTGTCAAACTAAATAGGATATAGCTTCATTGTGTGGCTTTTGACAATTTTCCTTTTGCAGTCCCAGTCAAATAAGAAAAAAAAAAAGGTTTTTAGCCTTTATATGGCTATTCCACATAACTGGGAGATTGCATTTGGTCTTTCTATGTTATATATGTTGAAAATGAAATCAGTTTAATTTATAAAATGGTTTTTCTTCCTCTCTGAACAGATCCTGAAATGTAACCATTTCAGTCCAGAGCTTCCTCAGGTGGAGAATGAGTGTGATTTACAAGTTTTCTCCACTTCCCTTCTTTTTTCTTCCTTTGCACACTTCATCAGCATATTTAAGGCTAAATGCTAATGCTAACCTAATTTCCTTTTACATTTGAATGTGAGGTTTAAGCTCCAATTAAAAGGTTTGATTGTAAACGTTTATCTTGAAATTATGATACTTAGTTCAAATTTAAGAGGACTTTCATTATTTAATAAATACATCTCCTTGCTCACTAAAACACACTGGACTGATTTAATTAGTTCTAATGATAATATTTCATGATCACTGTCCTTTTCTTTGAATATGATTTCCTTAGTCTTTATAAATATGTTTCATCGCTGTGAAAGAACTTATTCCTGATTCACAAGAAGTAGCATCATAAAAAACGGAAGCATAAAAGCTAACTTAATTCAGACACAATACAGTCTTGGTATAATGGAAAGAAAACAAAAGCTGAGAAAACCATCATGAACTCAAAAATGGAGGGGCTGAATCTGAAAGCTCTTAATGTCATTCATAAACATATCTTTTAAATGTTTATTTTAGGCCAAAAAATGGTGGAAAATACTGTGTGGGACGCAGGATGAAATTTAAATCGTGCAACACTGAACCATGTTCTAAACTAAAGAAAGATTTCCGTGATGAACAGTGCGCTGTCTTTGATGGGAAGCATTTTAACATTAACGGTCTACCTCCTAATGTGCGCTGGGTTCCTAAGTATAGTGGAAGTAAGTACATCAATAAGGCAACTAGAAGTGAGAAATCGTGAAGGATTTGGTTTTTGCTTGTTGGTTTATATCCTGCCTTTATTATTTCTATAAATATCTCAAGGTGGCGAATTCAAGGCACATATTCCCTCCTATTTTTCCCACAACAACAACCCTGCGAGGTGGGTGGAGCTGAGAGAGAGTCACTGGCCCAAAGCTACCTGATCCCTTCCTAAATACTGTTGTAGGGCTTGTTCTTCCTAGCTCTGTGGCTGACTCTCATACACTATTGTTATGAGATGAACTACTGTGAAAATAGTTTTCTCAACTGAGGTAAACAATAAGAAACTGAATGAATAAACATTGAAAGTGCATTGGGAAAATCTTGTCAAAAGTAGGACTGAGTACTTTTGATGTGAAAATCAAAAGAAACATCATTATTTCATTTTTCTTCCCTCTGTTGAAAAATATGTACTATTTATATATGTTAATACTATTTTGGTTTTATGGGCTACAGTTTAAAACAATGCTTGGGCTGCCCGTTTCCTCTACCTCCTCTTTGTTTTTGTCCCTATTCTTCATGGAAGACAAACGCTCTTATCCCCTGAAAATAAAAGATGCGTGGGTAGGGAAACAGAAAGCAAGGGGGTGGTGGGGTTTGCTATCAATCTAGTAGCTACCTCCAGTGTTTTACTCCCCCATTGGGTTCCCAGATCATTTGGCAGAATCAGGTCTTCAGGTTAGAATGCAGTATTGCAGACTAACTATAACCACTACCAGGAATTCAATTCTGATCGGCTCAAAATTGACTCAGCTTTCCATCCTTCCAAGGTCGGTAAAATAAGGACCCAGATTTTGGGGGGCAAAATGCCGACTCTTTAAACCATTTAGAGAGGGCTGTAAAGCACTGTGAAGCGGTACATAAGTCTAAATGCTATTGCTATTCTTGCAGAAGGGTAGGAGTCTGTAGGTAATCAGCCGCTCCTCTTGTGCTGGTAGAGAAGGCCTATTGCAGATCCCATTGGTCACAAAGATCTTGATGATCAGGATCCAGAAGAACAGCCTTCTCTGCTGTAGTGTCCACCCCTTGGAATATGTTACTCTCTAAGGGTGGGCACTACAGCAAGCTCTTCTTCTGAATTCTGATCAAGACTTCTTTGACCTCAATAGGCCTTCCAATATTTGAAGGGCTGCCACAGAGAGGAAGGGGTCAAGCTATTTTCCAAGGCACATGAAGGCCAGACAAGGAATAATAAATGGAAATTGATCAAGGAGAGAATCAACCTAGAAATAAGGAGAATTTTTCTGACAGTGAGAACAATCAACCAATGGAACAGCTTGCCTTCAGATGTTGTAGGAGCTTCATCACTGGAAGCTTTCAAGAAAAGTTTGGACTGCCATTTGTCAGAAATGGTCTAGGGTCTCCTGCTTGGGGTGGGTGGGTTTAGACTAGATGACCTACAAGGTCCCTTCCAACTCTGATAATCTTTAATCTGTAAAACAGCACAAGAGTTTGTCCTAGTGGGACAAGATGGTTCATCAGGTAGCCTATAACTATGCCATTAAGGGCTTTAAAGGTCATCACCAACACCTTGAACTGCACCCAGAAGCAGACAGGTAGCCAGTGTCGTTCACGGAGCTGAGCTGCAATATGGATCATTCTAGGAACCCCAAAGACTGCTCTTGCTGCTGTTAAAGCTCCCAAATGGATTTCAGGAACAGCCCCATGTAGAGTGCATTGAGTTGAAGAAGGACGCAGAATGTATTCAGTGTTATGGATCAATGACAAGAGAACTTTCTTACCAAAAAACATGAAAAGACTAGATAGAAAATAACCAGATTATTTTGCTCTGACAGTTTTAATGAAAGACCGGTGTAAGCTCTTCTGCAGAGTGGCAGGAAATACAGCTTATTATCAGCTCAGGGACAGGGTTATTGATGGCACCCCTTGTGGCCCAGACACGAATGACATCTGTGTACAAGGACTTTGTCGGGTAAATATTTTTACTTTACTTTTACTTAACAAGCTAACCATTTTCAAACATGGGTCACGTTTTCCATCTTCTCCTCACATGAACTGATAATTGTGTGACATTTCCCTAATTTAAGCCAGAGCACTATTTTATATAATTTACACAATAGTTTTTCTGTTTTGTATTACTCCTTGGCTAACCACAGTAGTAAAGTTCCAAATTGTACAGAATGTCAAGTATGTCAAGCATAAATAAATGCCATCCTAAAGAGAGATGTTGTTTGATCCCTGTGCGTGGCTATGTTAATGCCATGTGTCAGAACTTGGAGGCATCAAAAACCTGACCTGAATCTTAAAAAAAAAAAAAAAGCCAGTCCAATCCTAAATGGATCTGGATTTAGCATTTATATTCTACCAGTTAATTCCTGCTCTAGCAGAATGTATTGCCATTTCTCTGTAAGCAAGAACAGTTCCTATTAATAGCATAGTATTTTTTTCCAGTGGGGAAAAATCCATTTAATGTCCAGCAGCTCCAAGTTAATTTAGGGAAAATCTGAGGCTTGAATTTTGAAGAACTGCTATCAGTTTTATTTATTTTATTAAATGGTTGTCCTGCCGTTAAGACCGTATAGTTCAGGGGTCTCCAACCTTGGCAACTTTAAGACTTGTGGACTTCAACTCCCAGAATTCTTCAGCCAACTTTGCTTTGCTGGCTGAGGAATTCTGGGAGTTGAAGTCCACAAGTCTTAAAGTTGCCAAGGTTGAAGACCCCTGGTATAGTTAACTCAAAGAAATGAACATACATAAACTCCTACCTCCTTCTATTTTCTCCACAACAACACTCCTGTGAGGTGGGCTGGGCTGAGAGAGAATGATTGGCCCAAAGTCACCCAGCCAGCTATTCCTGCCTAAAGCAAGACTAGAATTCACAGATTAGTTTCTAAGCCAGCACCTTAACCACTACACCAGGGGTGTGCACTGGCCATGCCCACCGGTTTTAGCAAAGGGGGGGAAGTCATGATACATCACATGACACGAGTTTGACACCTGCACTACACCAATCTGGCTCTCTTAAATTCAGCTGAGCTTAAAATAGGTGACCTTTTTTGATCCCGATAGCCATGCAACCAGTGGTGGGATTCAAAAAATTTTACTACCGGTTCTGTGGGCATGGCTTGGTGGGTGTGGCAGGGGAAGGATACTGTAAAATCTCCAGTCAGAGGTGGTATTTGTCAATTCTCTGAACTACTCAAAATTTCCACTACTGGTTCTCCAGAACTGGTCAGAACCTGCTGAATACCACCTCTGCATACAGCCCAGACTGAATTAGAAGCCACACTATGTCTTCTCACTGATCCAAATTCAAGCTGATCCAAATTTTCTATCCCTTTTTCCTCTCCACCAGATAGTTACACTTGGAGACTTTACATAGCAAGAGAGGCAAAAATACTTCTTTCCCATTTCAGGAAGCAGAGATAAGAGACTGAAATCTCCTTCACCTCATGCTGAGTTTATTTTACACCTGTCCTTTCCTGGAGGTCTTTAAAAAGAGATTGGACAACCATTTGTCTGAAACGGTATAGGGTTTCCTGCCTAAGCAGGGGGTTGGACTAGAAGACCTCCAAGACCCCTTCTGTTGTTCTGTTACCTCGGGACCAATCTTGGCATGAAATTTAAATGGAGAAGATTAGATCTGAGGAGAACTCTGCTTCCCACACCATCTTCCCCTTTTCAGTTGCTTTCCTGACTATCTTCCAAAGAGCCTGTTAGTGAACAATTGAGAGACAATTAAGTCTGAAGAGACAAGATGTGAGTGGAATATCATTTTCCACATTTCCATCAGACTTCCACTAACTTAGGAGCTTTATTGAACCAGGAAGACAGCATGCCAGGATAATTCCTTGTGTGTCATCGTCCTTCACAAAGCAGCAGCTGCAGCAGCAGGGAACATGGATGGGAACCAGAAAGCCTGTATTGATCTGTACGGGAGTCCTTGAAGTGTTGCGTGTGTGCACCGCTTGTTCCCCATGCAATACAGATTGTCCTGAACTAAATGGGCTAATTGTCTGATTCAAGTATAAATCAGCTCTATTCTCTATTGCCTGTAAATCCTCTTTTTGTTTGATAGTGATAATGAAAAGCAGTGGAGGGGCTAAAAAAAACAAGTACATTATAAGTATCCTGGGCTCTCTGTTGTTTCTTCTGTTCGGCTGTAGTGTCAGAACTGAAACGGCCATGTTGCTTTTTTTCCTTTCTGGAGAGACTTACAGGATTGGCGTATTTATGAGAACTGTTTAGGTGCCAGGCTTCCCATAAAACGATATAATTTAACAAGGACAGATATAAAAGAGTCCTGCGGTGCGCTATAAATGGGAGCCATTTCCTTCCCTGAATGTCTGAAGAACTCTGAAAATGCAGTGCAGGAATTACTGTATTGTACATGAGATTACATTGTGCTCTTGAGAAGCTAGCTTTAAGCATCTAAGATCACACCATTGTAAGTTTCTACTTTAAGCGGGAGAAACTTATTATTATTAGAAATCTCACTCTCTTAGAGTTACAGAAGACCTACATAGTTGAGATTGGCATTATTATGGACAAGTTGAATATAGATAATTGGGGCAATTGTAGTCATTTTGTTGGGATCACAATTGCATCACGATTTAGCTGAAAGCTTCATAAGCCTAGCGCTTAATAACCCAGATTCATCTTTTGTTCTTTCAACTGCTACCCATTACCACAAGGCATAATAAACTTTGTGTAATCTTCTCTGTAGCTCCAGGAGCTCACCTGCCTATCCTGTCTCGCTTATCTCCCAGCATGCTATACGGTTTTACACTTCACGTGGCTTGAAACATGCTTACTTTTCATGTCCTAATAGGGTGGTTATGATTATTATAGCATAACAGGATATTGGAAAAATAAAGAATGAATGTGCTGTCAGAGGCCGTCGCCTCTGGTAGTATAGTTTTCATTTGTAACCCTGTGAATTCTATCTTATTTTCATATTGTCCAATTTCACTCTGAACTTTTCTTTCTCTAAAGCAAGCTGGATGTGATCACGTGCTCAATTCCAAAGCCAGAAGGGATAAATGTGGTGTGTGTGGTGGCGATAATTCATCATGCAAAACCATTGCAGGGACATTCAATACGGTGCACTATGGTAAGAAGAGAAAAGCTGTTTGCTAGCAAACTTAACCATCTGTGACATGTTTTGATAAACCAGTCCTACGACGAACAAGATTTCGCTTTCACTTTTTTTCATATTTTGAGCTTCTTGCTATTTGATGATAACATGGAAGCATCAACTTGGTTACTGTGATGTCGAATTGTAGCACAGTTTTTCTTTTTATCATTATTTTTTTGAATGCCAAGACTACGTGTGCATAAAAAGCTTGACTTTCTAGTTTGTCTTCTCAGGTTATAACACTGTGATACGCATTCCAGCCGGTGCTACAAATATCGATGTACGGCAGCATAGTTACTCAGGGAAACCAGAAGATGATAATTACCTTGGTAAGAAGTGATGCTCTTCAGCAACTGCAAATTAATGTTATTCCTGTCAAAAAAATAAAATAAATGCTCTTGTCATACTATCATATGGCTGTTTGGTTGGAAAAAGACAGAAAGATCACATAGGCCCATGATGGCAAACCTATGGCATGCGTGCCGGAAGTGGCACGCAGAGCCATTTCTGCTGACACATGAGCCATTGCCCAGAACAGATCCACTGTGCATGCACGCACACTTCCTGCCAACCAGCTGATTGTCAGGTATTTGCCGCGCATGTGCAGGGGATGGGGTCATACATGCGGCACACTGGGGGGGCACATACATGCGCAGAGGTATGCAGTGTGCACAGGGGGGTCACACGCACATGCACAGAGGCACATGGTGTGCACAGGAAGTCACATGTGCAGGGGTGGGGTGTCATCGTGCATGCATTGCATTATGGGTGCACTTTCAGCCCACGACGACAAAAATGTTAGCCATCAATGACATAGGCAGTCTTCAACTTACAACTATAATTGAATCTGCAATTTCAGTCATAAGTTGTGACAGTTGTAAAGTAGGTCATATTGTGATCAGGCCTGATTTTAGGACCTGTTTTGCAGCGGTCATAAAACGAATACTTTGGTCATCAAGCAATCAATCCCGTTGTTCGCTATGAGGCGTTATTTGGCAGAAATTGGAAACAAACACTGGTTTCTGGCAAAAATGTTATAAATCACAGTCACATGACCATGGGATGCTGCAAATGGTGGTAAATGTGTACCAGTGATGCATGGGATATGTGTGGCCAGAGGTCATGAGAATCTTTTTCAGGGTCAGTTGTAACTTTGAATAGTTATTAAGTGATCAGTTATAAGTCAAGGATTACTTGTGTTGTGCCTTCCTGTATCATTTTAAGATTAGGTTCATGTGAACAGTTAATAGACTTGGCCATTTAGTCAACTGGCCACATTAGGGCTTGTTTGTTTTATTTTAAAAAAACACCTCATCCTAGTCAAATGGGAGGGTAGAAAATAAACATTTTTATTGATGCTATCACTTTATGTGAAGGATAAAGGATAAATCTCATACACATGGGGCATTTTATTAGGTAGAATTAACCTCCCTCCACCTATTGTGTGTAGTATCCGCCAGATGCCCAGGTCTATCTTCTTTCCTTTTCCTGCATTAAAAAAAAAACCTCATTTGAGGTGGCTATAAAATGAATATTGTTTTTTTTTTTCTCTATTTTGGATTTGAAATATAATTCAGCTTTCTTTCAAAATCTGGAACAGAGCAAATGTTAATTGAAATGTCTATAGAAGCTTTCAATACAATGTATTTACATATTTATGCAGTTAAGCCTTCTATAATGGCCTGGGTTATTAAAGCTGACATTGATACTTAGACATTTTGGAGGAATTTCGTTTCTCTCAATCTTTCATCCCTCTCAGTTTTTTCATATTTTGTAATGGTTTGGCCAATTCATGTCTAATAAATTTAATTGGATCTATTATAAGTGTAAATCTGGGTCTAGCCATTACTGTCTGGCACCATACAAACTTAGAATAGAATGTGATCGTGCCTGGATTTTCCATCAGTTGTGTCTTATCTCTTGCAGCCTTGTTCAATCTCCACTGAGTAGAGTAGTAGGGCAGTAGAGTAGCAGTGATAAGAAACAGGTGAGAAACTAAGGTAGGACATTAACTAGGTAATAACAGCAGGCTTCTGTCATTCAGGAAACAATACATTTTAAAGGAAGGCATGGTTTCCTGAACTGAAAGGGAACTATTCTTCTAAGCTCTGAAGTCTTCAGCTTTTAGTGTATAATTTTGTATATAGTTTCAAGTCAAAGACAAAATATGCAAACACAATACTTTCTCATTCTCCATTTGTAAGTTCAGTTTGGAATTAATTGCACTGAACAAAAATACATGACTTCTGGTTTTTTGATGTTGGATAGGGAAGAGGCAGGTAGAAATTTGATCTGGCATAATGTGCTTGTGGTGGTGCTTGAGCTGTATTTTTTTCTGTAATTGTAAGTAGTGGGAAATATTGCAACATATATATTCCCTTCATACACAGGCACACATCCGATTAATACACAAGTAGAATATACAACTGGAAGGAAACCTGATTAAGCCTTAGGCTCTGGTTTTCTTTATCCTTTCTGGAAGCACAGAAACCTGTTAGGATCCATAGAAGCTAAGTCTTTTCAGAAAATTCTAGAATGGTGATTTTCAATTTGTGAAACCTTGTTTTTGAGATGTTGAGGTGATTCCCCCCGCCACCTTTTCATAGTAGAAAATGGTAGAATTAAGTCATGAAGCAAAATGCTTGCATGCAGACTGAGGAAAACACATTCTGAATCTGGTTAATCAGGCCCTGTTCTATGGCACTTAGAGTCACAATAACATTGTCTGCCATGACCAGTTTGGCATGTTTGAGGATCAAGCTATTTTGATTTAACTGGGCCTACTTAAATTACTTGAGTTAGGTCAAGCCAATAATTTGGAATGAGGAACTATATAACTCCATTATCCCCTTGGAGAGACCGCAGTCTAAATTCTGAAGAAACTTAGTTCAATTTCCACAATGTAGCCTGGTTTTGCACTGAAAACTAGTCTACCTACAATTTGGATTACTATTTAAAAATATATCCCCTCATACTGGCAAAAGCTACTTTTTTCTTTCCCTTGTGATTTTAATTGATTCCTTGGTTTTTCTCCTGGATTAAGTGTTGTGGCTGGCGAAGTTGAATACAGCTTGCTCTAAATGGGATACATTTTCTTCACTAAAATCAAGTTTATAACTTGGAGGTGCCTGAAGACTAAATTTGGATACTTGAGATCAAAATAATCTGAGAGACAATTGAAATCCTTTTATTGGCTTTGGCTAATGTATCAGCTACAACTACGAATGAACTGGGAATGTACCATAGGAAGTGAATTGGGAATGTACCATAGGTAGAGTTACATTTGAATACTCTACAAAATTCCTTATTAAAAATTAACTTTTAAAAAATTATTGTTACTGGATTGGCCAAGATTAAATAGCACTAAATTAGAACTTCATTTGTACAGGTTGTCTGAAATCATATAAAAAGAGTAGCTTTTACAATCCACCCAAACACATCAGGAATCACTGAAAATTAAGAATGACTCATTGCTTTCTTCTACAGCATGGGTATGAAACTCGCAGCCCGCGGGCCAGATGCGTCACGAGCTGGCCACGCCCATGCCTGGTTTAGTGAAGGGGGGGAGTCACGATACACCACGTGACAACACCATGACGATGCAAGTTTGACACCCCTGTTGTACAGGAAGTCCTTGACTTACAATCGGTCACATAATGATTTGAAGTTAGGATGGACCTCACCATTGGTATTTAGAATTCTGTTCCAAAGTTCTAATGAGGGCCCACGCTTGCCCATCCCTCATCGTGTGACTGCATTTCGAGTGCTTGGCAACCAGCTCACATTTGCGGCTGCATGACAACCTTTTATTACTTTTTTTAATGGCATTTACTTCCAGTTTTCAGCAAAATCTGCCAAAAAATTGATTCACTTAGCAATCCCAGGATTCGCTTAACGACCACTGCAAAAAAGATTGTAAAATCAGGTCAATCACACAGTGACTTATTTTACACCATCGCCACTTAAAACTACTTACCTGTAATAGTCAGGCTACATTGCAATCATAAGTCGAGGACTGCCTGCCTTATAGTTTGATCTGGTTATTGTTGAAATCATGTTCAAGTAAAATGAGATCCATTCTGGAAAAAAATATGTAACTTGTTCTATAACACATATTGTTCCAGCATTATATCATATCCTTATTCTGAATATAGGTACAATTCAAGGAAATCTGGAAAGATGTTACAGAGTATTCCAAAGTAACTGAGTAGTCTAGTTTTTTAAAAAGCACAATTCTACAGGTTATGATTTTTTATATTGTGGGTTTGCATCCGGAAAACACAACTTCTATGGTTATGATTTTTTAATTTATTCCAATTAGGTTGCTTTTTAAAGCAGAATTTAAATTATAGAATTCATATTATGTAAATAAATTGATTTCTACACTGCCGGAAGAACCAAAATCATTGGGTTGTCTAGAAGTAAAATAAATAAATCAATATTGATATTCAATTGCACTGTAATATCCTTCTTGCTGTATACAAGAAAATTACTTGGATTCATTTTCTGTTTATATTTGTGAACATAGCATTGTCAAGTAATGAGGGCTTCATACTAAATGGAGACTATGTTGTCAGTATGTTTAAGAAGGAAATAAAAATTGGAAATGCTGTTATAGAATACAGTGGCTCAGATACTCCCGTTGAACGAATCAATTCTACTTACCGCATTGATCAAGAAATAGTTCTTCAGGTAAAAAAAATCTCTTTTTCTAAAAGAAAATCAAATAAATATTGCTTTATTTTAATGTTTATGTAGATGAAATAGTATAGTTCCTCCCTTGATGCTATACTTTTCTGTATCTTTTTCTTCTCAGGTTTTATCAGTGGGTAATTTATATAACCCCGATGTTCGATACACATTCAATATCCCCATTGAAGATAAACCTCAGCAGTTTTATTGGAATGTCTATGGACCTTGGCAGCCCTGCAGTAAACTCTGTCAAGGTACGTGGCTTTAAAGGGATTTGAAAAATAATTCAAACTTTACATTTCCAAAAGCTGTAGCTGGATGATGGAGAATGTCTTTTAAGCTGCTCACAATATTAAGACTTTTCTTACTACTTTAGGCTGACTTGAGGGAATATTTACCTCAAAATCATGGCCACCTGCTCTGCATTAGAGCTAGTTTGGTGGGGTGGTTAACACCAGACTAGAAGCCAGGAGATGATGAGTTCTCAAGTCCAGCTGAGTGATTGGGGGCTACCTTGTTTCCCTGAAAATACCACCTATCCTGAAAATAAGTCCTAGCCTGATTTTTTTTGGGGGGGGGGTGGGCCTAATATATGCCCTACCCCCAAAATAAGCCCTAGTGAAGGAGGTGGGCATGGCCAGCACAGGAGGCAGCCTTTCCCTTCCCCGGTCACCTCATGGCTGCTCAGCCCCTTAATTGCAGCCCGCAGATCAGCTGAGCCAGCAAGAGCCGGAAACTCCCTCTCTTTCTGTCTCTGGGTGCTTGGAGATGTTTCCAGTGCACTCTTGTCCGCCCTAGTCCTACCCACGGTTCCAGACAACCTCACAACTGAGGGCCCCTCTCTTCTGAAGCTCATCTTGTGGCTCTGGAACAGGCAGCGACTACAGTTTGCGCTCCGCCAGGCTTGGAGTTCGGGTGGAGCTACGATGAGGCAGAAAGCCATGCAGTGCATTGGAATCAGCTTCTCCCCCACCTCAACCCGGCTGCTGGGCCTGCTGCACACCTGTTGCAGCTGCTGCTGCTGGCCTCGTGGGGCCTCATCGCCTTCCTGGCTGCACGCTCTCATCAGCCGGTTAGGCTGCTCTTGCCTGGCATGGGACAACTCAGCCCAGATCTCCCCCCGCCACCGGCCTGCCAGGGCCCCCTTTGCCACGGTCACACTGTGCGAGCTCCATGGCAGTCCTGCAGCGGGACGGAGAAGAGTGGGGGAAATCCACCCTTCTTCCTTTTCACCCCCAAATATACTAGTATTACCCCTTGGAGGCCTCCCAGTGCAACACTCTGCCATAACTTCAGAGCAAACTGCAGCCTTCCCTGCGCAGGATTGCAACGCCTTTCTGGGATGTGCGTCTGTTCTGTGCTTGAGAAAACTGCGATCAGCAGGAAAATGGGGAGGGGTGGTTCTAACCTAAAGTAATCTAATTAATCAAATTGGAAGTAATCTAATTGTAGGATAAATTAATGTTAATGGCATGGATAACATTAGGATGTATTAGAAAGGCAAGGAAGTAACCAGATTGACCTTTCAAATATGTTCTTGATATTTTCTTCCTAACACGTGCAAAATCTTACTGATTAAGTACATGTTTCACCAGTCTTGCAGTGCTACAAATTCTGGGTCTGTATTGCAATTAATGGCTGGCTTTACTCTTTCCTCGGAGACTAATCTTTTTCGATAGGCTTTTCTCACAGATTCAGGCTTTTCTTTTATTTTCAAAGCACAAGTTGCTCCTTCTTATTTCATGTTCAATAGGATACCAACCTAAATCCTGAGGCCTGGGAAAATCAATTAATATCCTGGGGCCTGGGAAAATCAATTAATAGTTCATTTATTATTACCAAAGAAGACTACACTTCGGAGAACTGGATGCGTCAAAAATTATCTAAGGTTTTCCATGTATGAATTACTTGTTCCCAGTTCCCAGTATAGGCAACTGCTGTGGGGGGTGAAAGTTGCAGAGAGGAGCTAATGAAAAATGTGTATTGTGATGCAGACTTTAGGACTTCTGGGTGCAAATACCAAAGGCCAGGATTTGCACTGTGACTTTTATGCTGAATATTTCTTCCTTTTTCATTATGACAGTTTGTATTAGATGACTGTATTCACAGTTACAGCGGCCTAAATATAGTGAGATAACTGGTCTGGGATCCAATACGCCCTGCCAGGCTTCCCCATGCCTTCAAGAAATATGATAGCATGGTAGGACTAGCATATATGGACTGTAAAACTCAGATAACCTCTAGACATGCAATACAGAAACTCTTGACTCTCTGTTGCCATCTGGTGGAGTTTTGCCTAACAGACATTGTACCTGAAGTTCAATAGTCCAGTAAGTGATAATGAAGGAAGAGCATAAAATGAAGAAGGCAGCAGACAAGTATTCCAGAGCTAGTTGTTGTCTCCGCAGCCGCTAACACTGGGAATAGAGTTCTCATCCTCCTCCCTTTTTTCATTCCCTTCTCATTTCCTTTTTGATACTTGTGAAGGAATGAAGAGGGAGGAAATTTGTATGCAGAACCCCAGCAAAAAGCAAAGGTGTTTTCTGCTATTTTCTGGCCAATCAAAGCTTCGAGCACAGAAGGGTGGCTGAGTTTAGGAGGATCTTTTAGAGGAAGAGTCGTGAGTTCTTCCAAAATGTGCTGTTTCCTTAGTGATGGCAGCGGGAGACAGGATCTCCCTGACTCTAATGGGAGAGCAGATGTTTTAACACTAAGCGGCCAGTTAGGTGCTAGTAGGTTCTTTTGGATTCAAGACAGAAAACGAAACTAAACACTCATGGAAACAAAGAGCCCCAAAGTTTATTAATGTAATATGCAGTAAGTTATAAGAGAAGGTATAACTAAACCCCTTCACCTGCAGACAGGAACGTTGAAAAGACTGTAGACAGACTTCTCTCTAATGCCAGATGGAATGTATCACCTTTCCTATTACGTCTACACGGAAGTTGCCAAACTCACATTCACTTCTCTTGGCTTAAATACCTTTTCATGGGTGAGGGAGATTGATCTAATTCAGGGGTGTCAAACTCGATTTCATTGAGGGACACATCAGGGTTGTGTTTGATGTCAGGGTTGTGTGGGGCATGGCCAGGGTGGCTATGGCCAGCTTGACATCACTTGTTGAGGCTCCATTTTCAACCGTGACAGCCTCCTGCAGCTCTCTGCCAGGGAAAAATGAGTTCACGGCGTCCCTAGGCCTCCATTTTCATTAGCAGAGGGCTGCAGGAGGCCGTTGCAGCCAAAAACAGAGCCCGGGCGGGGGCCTTGTGTGGCCTCCTTGAGCTTCGTTTTCACTGCCAGAGGCACTGCGGCTGGTCCTTTGCTGCTTCCAGGGAGGCCCCTTGCGCCAAATCTAAGCACCCCACAGGCCAGATCTGGCCCCCAGGCCTTGAGTTTGACACCAGGTAATTAGTACCTGGAAACGTCTTGCCAGAACATTCCAGACGAGATGTTCTTGGCATCCCTCAAGTCATCCTCCCTTTTGAAGAGGTTTTTTTCATTTGTACTTTAGAGTCAGTTTGGTGTGGTAGTTAGAGGGACCAGAAGTAAGAATGCAAAGCCAAGGAAATAATGCAATATTGGGTCATTTAATATGGAATTTACATAAGGTAGCAAGAGAAAAGTGGATCATACCTTGTCATTTTTTTCTGCATGAATACTAGGAGAAGGGACTCAAACCTATTTCTGCTGCAGGAAAGAAAGCCACTCTGGAGCCCTTCCCTTTTCCTTACTCATACTCATACTCATACTGCTGCTGAGGGTGGGGCTTGGCCCCCCAAACTCCACTATCATTGATGCAAAGGAGTAAAAAAATGTTGGCCGAGAGATTTTGATATATGCTTCTGCACAACAGCTTCAGCTAGGAAGAATTGTATGAATTATACCAGTATTAATTTGAGTGAAGCTGTCATTCTCATGGGCAGTTGGTAGAGTAGGAACGGAACTGTTAACCTCACCACTATTTCTTTCTGAGTTCAGAAAGAGAGCACGTAGCTATTTAATCCTACTTAAACCTAGCAAATGGAATAATCATATGTGCAGTCAAAGTCTATGTGTCAAGTTCTGTGTTGTGTTCATGCACAGCAGTAGATGCCCCTCCAACCCTCATTATGATTTAACATAAATACACAAATTCATTGCACATTGTTTGCAATGGGGGCTTGAACTCTGCATCTCCAAAATGCTTGATTTAGGAATCCCCTCATGTTCGACATATTTGCAAATGAAACATGGGAGAGTGAGGTAAACCTCAGTTGCATCAAGTAGCCATTTTAAAAAGAAGTTCCCAAATACAGCCAGGTTTTGAAAAATAAACTTCAGATATTCTGGTGTTTCCGTTCCTTGCAGTTAGCCAATGTAAATTGTTTAGGAAGGGCATAAACAATATTTAGAACCTGTCTAAATATAGGCCTACTTTGGAACATATGTATGGGAAAAATGAGTTCTTTACCTTTTATGTAATTGTGTTTGTTTCGTTCTTTTCAGGGGAACGAAAAAGGAAACCAATTTGCACCCGGGAATCCGATCAGTTCATGGTATCTGACCAAAGATGTGATAAAATCCCTCAACCTGATCCAGTGACAGAGCTATGTAATTTAAATTGTGAATTAAGGTAAGGCAATCTTATAGATGTGGATTCCATTGTTTTAGACACCATAATTTAAATTGCAGGCCCAACTGGAAAAAAAAACCCCAAACCCGCAGGATCTTATTGACTAGAAACATGCAGTTGGTAGACAATGGCTAAAATGATGAATTTAAATTTTAAAAGTTATATGAGTCTTACAACCATTCATTAGCGAACATTTGAAGATACAATAGCCCTGGAAAATGTGACTTAGAACCTGTTATTGCACGTAGGACCATCATAACATCCCCAGAGTCATATGATCAAAATTTGGGCACTTGAAAACCAGCAAGCATTTGTGACAGGTCCATGGTCACGAGATCACCATTTCTGACCTTCCTAGTCAACTTTCAACAATCAAAGTCAACAGTGGAAGCCATGCTTCCTTAAGATCCATGTGTTTCACTTAACGACTCCAGTAATTTGCTTAACAACTGTGACCAAAAAAGGTCGTAATATCAGACAGGAATCACCGAACAACTGTCTTACTTATCAGTGGAAATTCTGATCCCAGTTGTGGTTGTATGTAAAGGACCACCTGTACATCGAAGTGTAGAATGTTGTTCTTTCCTTTTGGGTTCAATCAATCAGTACAAAGCTGGAAGGGGCCTTGGAGGTCTTCTAGTCCAGGGGTCTCCAACCTTAGCAACTTTAAGACTTGTGGACTTTAAGTTGCCAAGGTTGGAGACCCCCATTCTAGTCCAACCACCTGGTCAAGCAAGAGATCCTATATCATTTCTGATAAGTGGCTGTCCAGTCTTTTCTTAAAAACCTCTAGTGATGAAGCATCTACAACTTCTGAAGGCAAAATTGTCCTCACTGTTTGGAAGTTTCTTCTTAATTCCAGGTCGCTTCTCTCATTGGGTAGTTTCCATCCATTGTTTCTTTTTTTGCCTTCTGGTGCTGGTTGCGATGAATCCACATTTTTGCTCGCCACTCAGCATTAACAGCAAGGCTGTTTATTCTATATGACTTCCATTTCCTGTGGAGTCAGCCTAAACTTAAAGGAAAATACATTGCTGTGCAATCTCATAGATGTTAATATTTTATTAGTCATAAGAACCTTTAGGGCACTAAAAGCATCCAAAGCAAAATTCAGTTTTAAAAGAAATAATCATAATAAAATGTTAAGTGGCAAAAAAGCAAATTAAACAATTAATTACAGCACAGATCATTAGTTTAGTTAGTGACAAACTTTCCGCTTTCCAATGGCCCTCCGTAAGCCTCCCCAGAACACAGTTATGAAGACTGGGCATTGCACCAAAGAAGATCATTCTTTTCTCTAAGATTGTATTAAAATTTAGTAAGGTTGTTATGATTGCTTTGGCAAATAGTCTTCCACTTTTGATCACAAAAGTATATATTTGTAGAAACTTTGTTGTTGTTGTTAGTTGCAAAGTTGTGTCCGACCCATCGTGACCCCATGGACAACGTTCCTCTACCATCTTCTGGAGTCCATTTAAGCTCACGCCGACTGTTCAGTGGCTCCATCCAGCCACCTCATTCTCTGCCGTCCCCTTCTTCCATTGCCTTCAATCTTTCCCAGCATTAGGCTCTTCTCCAGTGAGTCCTTCCTTCTCATTAGGTGGCCAAAGTATTTGAGTTTCATTGTAGATACTATAATCCCATTAAATCTTCTGCCATACTTGTGAACCTGAAGGAAGCACTTGCTATTTCCAGATTGCTTGATTTGATTAGGAAGTCAATGATTTTGGCTTTTGAGTTTAACTACTGTGTATATGTATGTATGTGCGCATCTGTCCTCTTTCTGCAATGTACTGTAGTGTAGAAAAGTTTAACCATTCCCTTGCTCCCCCCGCCCTATCATGGTCTAGACTTCTACTTCCCTGATGGTAATGCCAAGAAGGTAACAATGATCTTGTGAATGCTCATTCATTCTTTGAGAAGCCTCCTGCTGTTCCATCTCAGAAACTCTTCAGATGCTTGTTTCTCCCATTTCTATAATCATTGGTTTATCCTCATCCAACAGCAAACTGCGCAGCAGAAAAAGGAGGTGAGCCTCTGTCAAACAACGTGTGCCCCTCTCCCAAAGGAGCACCTGAGACCCACATGTGTCCCACAAGCTGTGGGTGAACCTCCATTGACAATCTGGATTTGCCTCAGTCATGTAATAGGGAGAGGATTAGTTGGCTTTTGTTTTTAAAATGAAAGGGGCCTGGAATGTGGGTGTTTAAACACTTCCTTTCATGCACAATTACCTATTATTTTGTGCTTCTCTCCCTCCCTCAGGGAAAAAAAAATATTTGGGGCTGTTCAGTGATTAATGAAAATAACGGGTGTGGGAGGGTTGAGACCATTTTTTCCCTTCCCTAATCAAAGCGCATAGTTCTGAAAAGCAGCCAAGATATTTTTCACATGTAACAGGAAATCCCAGAAGTGCATTTCCCTTTCTTTGATAGTCAAAATCCATTAAATGACTAACCATTTTCTGCCCTTTTTATGATACTTAGACCTTCCCGCTGAGACTGTGCCTGACTCTAATGATAGGTTGGACATGATTTCTACTCTCCCTGCGCACACATTTTAAAATTGCATTAATAGGAACCTCACTCACTCATAGGCAAAACAATTGCCATCAAACAATTGGAAACTTTAAGCATACTATTCTTTTTCATCTCATATTAGAGAGTGCACAAAGTTCATAATCCCAAAGAATACACATTGCATGGGAGAATTGAATGCCAATTATTACTTATAGCGTTTCCTATGTTCCTTGCTAGTTTCACCTCAGGCTTGTTTAATTATTTATTTATGAACAGTGGTGGGATTCAAATATTTTTACTACTGGTTCTATGGGTGTGGTTTGGTGGGCGTGGCAGAGGAAGGATACTTTAAAATTTCCAGTCGGAGATGGTAGTTGCCAGTTCTCTGACTTACTCAAAATTTCCGCTACCAATTCTCCAGAACTGGTTAGAACCTGCTGAATACCACCTCTGTTTATGAAATTTATATACCGCCCATCTCGCTGTCATGAGACTCTGGGCAGCGTACAACATCATAAAAGCAGAGATAGAAATTGTCATGCCCCTATCAGAGCTTGAATCTGCAGAGGAAGATGAGCCAGAACTGGAGTCGACCGAGATTAAGGGCGGGGTTTTGTTAGCTTCGGATGAATATGTGGAAGAGCAGGCTGAGTCAAGACAGGGCCTTTCAGGATTGGGAAGCTTGTAGGCAGAGGAACCAGGGCACGATGACCAAGAGAGGCTAAGCAGTCAACATGAGAGACAGAGCTCAGGCGATGAGCAAGGACCACCCACTCCTGATCCTCAAGCATGGAGAGTGGAGAGAAGGCAGGAACAGCACAGGCTGACCCAACTACTCAGGAGAAGAGTGCCCCACCCCTCTCCACAAGCCACACCTGGGAACTGAGACTTAAGGAGACACCATGGGGAGGGCATTTGTCGGGAACAAATGCTGAATTCATGGAGGGTTGTGTGCCATTGCCAACATTAGATGTTTCCTGGACTCCTTGATTTATTTCTTGCTTCCTGGATTAACTGCCTTCTTCCTTTGCTTTCTGGACTAATTGGCTTATTCCTTTGCCCTGATGGATTTCTTGTTTTGCAGCTGTTGTGCTCACAGCTTTGTGCTAGACTACTTGCAGCTAGAGGCTGCTGGAGGTGTGTGTGTCATCGCTTTGCTCTGGGACTTGCCAGAAACATGGGGACGTTTGGGGAACATTTGGAGCAATAAAGGTGCAGTTTGAACTGTCAGCTGACTGTGTTGCCTCTGTGTCATGCCCCAGATCACAGAAACATTAAAATATTAAAACAAACAGAGATTAAACATTAAAAACTAAAATACACTGAGGTGGAGGTGGGAATCTTCTTCCTAGTCCACAAACCACTTCCAGTGTGGAAAACCCCAGCAGATCTAGAGATTGAGGCTCCTTTGGAAGGCCTTCAGGATGGAGGTGGATCTCGCCTCAAGGGGCACAATGTTCCAGAGGATGGAAACCATGGCAAAAAAAAGGCACTTGCCCTGGACCCTTCCAGCCAGAATTCCTTCAGTGATGGGTTCTCAGCATCCCCTTTTGCCAGACCCAAGGCCAGTGACCAGCCTGTCATCTGGGCTTTTTAGTGATGGCATCAATAGTTATGAAATTTTGGCAACAGTCCGGCCTCATTAGATTACAGACTAACAGAGTTGGAAGGGCCTTGTAGGTCATCTAGTCCAACCCCCTGCTCAAGCAGACCCTACACCATTTCTGACAAATGGCAGTCCAGTCTCTTCTTGAAAGCTTCCAGTGAGGAAGCTCCCACAACTTGCGAAGGCAAGCTGTTCCATTGGTTGATAGTTCTCCCTGTCAGAAAATTTCTCTTTATTTCCAGGTTAAATCTCTCCTCAGTTTCAATCCATTATTCCTTGTCTGGCCTTCAGGTGCCTTCAGGTGTCAGTGTAGCTGACAAATAGCTTGACCCCCTCCTCTCTGTGGCAGCCCCTCAAATATTGGAAGACTGCTATCATGTCTCCCCTGGTCTTCTCTTCACTAGACTAGCCAAGCATAGTTCCTGCAACCATTCATCATATGTTTTAGCCTCCAGTCCCCTAATTATTTTGGTTGCTGTTCTCTGCACTCTTTCTAGAGTCTCAACATTTTTTTATGGTGTGGTGACCAAAATTGTAAACAGTACTCTAGGTGTGGTCTTACTAAGGCTTTATAGAGTCATATTAGTACTTCGCTTGATCTTGATTGTATCCCTCTCTGTTAATGCAACTTATGATTTCATTGGCTTTTTTGGCTGCCACTGCACACTGTTGGTTCATACTTAATTGGTTGTCACTAAGACTTCATGATCCCTCTCATAGTTACTGCTATTAAGCCTGGTTTCAACAGTCTATATGTGTACTTTTGGTTTTTCTTGCGTAAGTGTAAGACTTTACTTTTCTCTACATTGAATTTCATTTTGTTAGATATGGCCCAGTGTTCGAATCTGTCAAGATCCCTCTGGATCTTGAGCCTATCATCTAGGGTGTTGGCTATTCCTGCCAGTTTTAATATCATCCACAAATTTGGTAAGCTTCGCTTTTATTCCCTCATCTAAATCATTTATGAAGATACTGAAGAGTACTGAGCCTAAAACAGAATCTTGTGGCACCCCACTGCTTACTTCCCTCCATGTAGATGTAGTACCATTAAGGACCAATGGTTGAGTATGGTTTGTCCACCAGTTACAAATCCATCTGGTGATGCTATCTATCCCACTTCTGCTTATTTTCATTTTTTTTTCAGTCTTTGAACTTATGGGATTGATATTGCTGCCAATTTCTAGTTTGTCATTTTTTAATTATCTATTGTGTTACTACTATCTTGTTATTTTTTCTGAGTGTTGAGAATATTTCTGTTGTTGGGTGGTATATATTGTAAATAGAAATAACTCATTTTAAATTAGCACCATAGAAAAATTAATTAATAGCAGAAAGTAGTCGCTTAGGTTGTCATTTTCTGCTCTTACTGTTAAAACAATAGAAACCCGTTTCCGAAAATTGTAGCTGAAGGAATATGCTGAAGGTTGCCAGATGCCTTTTATTTGAAAGGATAATAAGGGTTCCATATTTCAGTTTTTCTCCCATTATCTCTCCCTCCCCAAGACGATCACAGCAGAAAGTTCTTATTTCAGAACACTAAGCTCCATAAAATAAACATCCATGTTGTCTTTCTCTCTCTCTTTTCATTTTAAAAAAGAGGATGGGGTGGGGAATCTGCATTCATTTGGCAACCACAACTCCAACCACAAAATTGTCCAATTTATACAGGACAGATCCTTTCTTTTATAAGCATATGAAACTGGTAAATCGTAGAGGGGGGGTTGTCTTTAGTTTTCCTTTGGGGATGATCTGGGGAAGTGTTCAAATATGTTGCTTTTCTAAGTACATGTGAACCAACTCCTTTGTTTCTGCCTATCTTCTCAAAAGAGAAGACTGTAAAAATTGGGGTCCATAGAGCAAAGAATTAGTAACGCAAAGTCTGTCAAACAGTACAACAGTAGTTGACCATATGGGTGCTTTAGCAGTAGACATTGCTTCTAGTAATAAGTGGTGGTGGCCAGATTGTTGTCATATTTTTTCCTAGGTTTTAACAACAAAGTAAAGGCAGCTGTAATAAACTGCTCTCAAGCCAAGCAGCTCTTATTCAGCTGGTTCTCATCAAGAGTGCTCGGGCTGCAAAGCTGTCAGGCTGGATTGCATTTCCAGCTTCATCTAGCTATACTGCCCTTCTCAAATATTAGACATCGTTACCTCTTGCATTGTTTCTGGTACTCCAGGGAGCATCAGATGAAAGGGGGAAGAGCCTACAGTTGCTTAACAGTCAGAGAAAGAAACTTAGAATGGATTGGCCCTAATTGATCAGGCTGCTAAAAATGACAGCAGGAAATTTGTACTTTCAGACTTGCAAGATTTTGTTAATGCAGCCTTACAATAAAGTAGATGAAGTCATCTGGTCATGTTTCCTGTCTGATTTACCTGGGAGGGCTGAAGAGGGGTGGGAATGCATTCAGGATTGAAAGTTTCTACTAGTGTGACATCACAATAAAGAGAAAGCTACTACTCCTGAGTGTGCACTTTGTCTAGACTACCTTGCAGGACAAAGATCTTTGTGGAACATTCTCCAATAGACAAGCACAAATACAGCCTTCACATATATTAAACAAGTCGAACAGCCAGTCAATCAGCACGCACATTATGACATTTCTGCAATTATATCATCTATACTTACATCCTTACAATTGAATGCTAAAAGGTGTAGCATTCATTTCAAGTCTATCGCTCAACCTTGTGATTCTTGTAGAGCTGACTCTCAAATTATCTTTCCAGCATTTTCTCACTTCGGTTTCATCCCAAATGGTGTATTTACTTTTATTTTTAATTTGGTTCATTCTTCTGGAGACTTCTTCACTCACCTTCCATCAGAGCATTTCTTCTGCCTCTTTTAACCTTAAACATGTCTTTTTCTCATTGCATTCATAGCAAGATTATACATCTATTGTATTAGTGGCTAGCAAAAGTTCCAATAGTTGTACGAGAAACAATTAAGATGGGTCATCCCTAGCAGGTCTCAAGAGTACATGTTTAATGAGGCAAATAGTCTGTTTTAGTTTGGCAAGATGGCTGTCTATAGGTGAATAACAATAAAGGAAAATGCTTAGAAAAACCTCGATGTGTCTTTCTTCGTTTTTGTAGCCTGACTGATGATTTGAGACTTTAGTAAATCAGAGAAAGTGAAGGGTAGGTTACTAATCTTGGACACACCTGTACCCCTTGCAGCATTTCCTGAAAATGGTAAGGGCAATTCTAGGCACATTTTGGCTAGCATGCCACTAACACAAATGCAGCCCAGTTTTACCACATTCTCATCTATAGAAACTGGGATCCCTCATCCGTTCATTATCTTATAAACTTCCATATTGTTGCCTATATCTTAATCACTTGGACGTACATGGAATGCATTGATTCAAATTCAGATTCACACAAATAATCTGAATTCAATATAAAGTGGCTTTGCATAAAATGAAAAAATGAAGCATGCTTACAATTACGCTACATATTTCCCCTGATTCTGTTTTTTGCTTTTTGTCTTGGGCACATTTTTGACCACCTAAAGAGCTTTCTCTTGCAGCGATTGCCTTTACTAAGACATGCTCTTGATTGTATCTAGGTGGCATATTGTCAGAAAAAGTGAATGCTCTGTGCAGTGTGGAATGGGCTATAAAACTCTGGAAATTTCCTGTGCCAAGTACAGCAAACTTGAAGGCAAAATTGAAAAGTATGATGACCGATACTGTAGTGGCATATCCAAGCCAAACACTAGGGAAAAGTGTTCAGGAGACTGTAACACTGGAGGATGGCGCTACTCAGCCTGGACTGAAGTAAGTTGGTCCTTTATGGGATAAAAGCAGCAAGGCATGCAGGGTGGGTAAGAAGAATGATATGAAAGGAAGTCAAAATGATTAGAACCGTGTGTGGTATAAACAACTTACATTTTACATTAAGTTATTTATATGCTGCATAACCAGTCTGTCAATTTAGTAACCACTATAAATAGATCCTATTTAAAAAAAAACAATGGGAAAAGTATTAGATGGGGGGAGGTTGCTTTAATATGAATAAGAAAGTGAAATTAAAAAATGGAACAAAAGCATTTATATTACATAAAAAAAATATGATTCAATGTAATATTTAAACCAGAAGTGATTTAAACCACTGAATTATCTTCCCTAACAAGTGGAATATTTATTCTTTGACCTGTCTGGTTGCTCATATTTTACTTTGTATTTTACATTATTTGTTTGTATACTGTATCTAAGGGGTGTCAAACTCACGGCCTACAGGTCAGATGCGTCAGATGCAGGCCCCATCCCCACCCGGTTTAGCAAAGGGGGGGAAAGTCCCGATATGTCACGTGATGCCACCATGATGCCACAAGTTTGACACCTCTGCTCTATCTGATTTATATAGCCAACTTGCACAAGTGAATCTCGGTGATTTTCATGATTAAAAAAAAAAAACTACCACACATATTCCACCAGCACCCAAGGATAAACAATAACCCCAATAACACAATCAGTGCTGTCTCAGTACTTTAGGAAGGCCTGAATCCTGACTGAAAGAGGGCCAGATAATCTGCTTTTTCCAGGGACCCCTGGAGCTGTAAGCCAATCACTTTCTCAGTAACCTCCCCTAAAAAGATTTGATCCCATCCTCTCAATTCTAACCCTAAAAGCAAGTTAGCTGACGAGGAGCTTAGAAATGAAAGGTACCACCCAAACAGTTGCCATGATGGGACAGCAGTTCTTTGGGATATCAGCCTGTGAAGACCATAGTGACTCAAGGATTTCCCTATTATTATTACTATTTTTAAGTAGCTATTTTTAGTATTACTGGGTTGTAGTACTAAATGTATGTACTAGCAGTTATTAGCCAGAGTAGATACAGCACAATTTCTCCAGTTTATAGACTGTTGAGAGAGTCAGGGTAGCAATAATTAGCATGTACTTTATAGCTGGAATTTTCTTAGGAGAAATTTCTGGCTGTTTTTGTAAAGAACTTTTTGACAAACATGCACTTAAAATTCAATCATATGCTGACCTGGAATATGGAGGAGTGGGCATTTTCAGCTGACTGTGTAGTACTAGTCCCTAACTTTGACTTCGTTTTTATTCCCTGAAGTGCTCTAAGAGCTGCGGTGGTGGCACAAAGAGGCGTCGAGCAGTCTGCATGAACACATTCAATGATGTTTTGGAGGACAGTAAGTGCAGCCAGCAGGAAAAAGTGACTGCACAGCGGTGCAACGAACTCCCGTGCCCACACTGGAAAACAGGAGATTGGTCAGAAGTAAGAATCTTATATTGCATTAACACTGTAATTTTAATCACAGAGTGGGGTGGTGGCCTAGAGGTGGAACTCTCATCTCACAATCAGGAGGCTGTGAGTTCGATCCTAGGTAAAGGCAGATATTTCTCTCTCTGGGCACAATGAGAATACATCTAGTGCGAACTCTGCATTGGTGACAGGAAGGGCATCCGGCCAGGAAACACTCAGCTCCATTCAGTTGCCCTGACTCCACCCTGGTGCAAGGGATTACGAGGTCATTAAAAGACCAAAAATAAAGAAAACCCTGTAATTTTAATCACAGCGAAATTGCACTAAAATGGTTATTCAGATCTGATGATCTTCTTCACATCTCTATTCCTTAATGCATGGTTCCTCTGTCATTAGCATGATGAATTAGACAGGCTTCTGCAGGCCTCCTTTCAGTTTGAAAAGCGGGTCTCACTGTTAATTTAGCACCAGATAATAAAACAGATAAAGAGAAGATAGGCATGACAATGATCTAACTTTTGCTTTATGGGGCTGCTTGTAGAATTTATTTGGCCTGTACCACTGCTAAGATTTATTTTGAACAATGGGTCTTTAGTTAGAAGAGCTAAGTTCAGCCTTGATGTGCCCAAGCTTGTTCCCTTCCATAAACTCTTGTATCACTGTGTTAACCTTTTTGAGAAGAGAAGGCATTGAATGAGTGAGGCCAGCTTAAGGTAGATACGTTCTTTTTTCAGTGTTTGGTAACCTGTGGAAAAGGGCACAAGCATCGGCAAATCTGGTGCCAATTTGGAGAAGATCGGATCAGTGACAGACTTTGTGACCTTGAGGCCAAACCAGATTCCATGCAAGACTGCCAACAGCAAGAATGTGCAGCGTGGCAAGTAGGACTGTGGGGCCAGGTACTTGATGCCATTTGTTCCTTCTGTTTGTTTCTTTCCAAAATATGTCACTCATTCTGCAACCCAAAAAAAGTTTAGTTCTACAACTAAAGGGTAACAAGCAAGACACAAAGCAAAGTATTGAATTAATGATAATTAATTATCATTATTGATGATGATGATGATGATAGCAACCAGTTGGGATATTGATAGCTTCCTGGAACAATAGGAAATGAAAAAAATGAAATGAAAAAAAAATACATGCAAGTTGTCTGAATATTTATATTTTTTATTTATAAGCTACTTTTCCTCCAAGTGTTGTATGTGACTTCTACCCTTTGTAGTTTTATTTTGATAATTTCCATGTAAGAAAGGTAAGGCAACTTAAAAATATTCTCAGTTTTAACACAGTATTCTAATAACCAAATCATAATTGTACCCAGTGTGTAAATATCTTACCAAGAGAAAGCCAGGTTCATGCTATTGCTGAAGTAGTGAGTCATCCCTTTAAACAATCATGGCTAATTTGGTCCTCTTAGAACATGTTCTTGGTACAGTTCTTAACTGTAATCTACTTCTTTGCCCTGATTTAAAAAAAAAAAGTAAAAAGGAATTTATACTGAGTCAGATTATAGGTTCCTGTGCCCAATTCTAATAGTCCAGACTGTTTATAGCTTTGAGTTTCAGTTGTAGCTGTAGTTAATGCAATGAAAACGGTCACTAGACTAATACCAGAGAAAGCCTCTTGATTTTTTTTTTCTAACAATTCTCATTCGGTTTTATGTAAGACATTTTTTTAAAAAAATTTCTAAAGCAGAAAATTTCTTTAACATTCTTGTCAGCAGAATATGGTGTTCTCATGTCTTCATTAGTTGGTTTACAAGTTGCAAGGGGTGTATATACAATGAAAGATGGGACATTGATTAGGACATTTCCAGAAGTTAGAAGTTATTAGTTCAGTTGAATCCCTTGAGAGAGTAGAGTAAGGGAATTCATCTTACGATGTTTTTTTAGTAACTTTGGTATGTCCTTGCTAAATGGAAGTGTTACCCTTGAAAAATGATTGGAAAATTTCTTCTTCCCTGGAGAAAGCCAGAGAATTCTCTATTTCTCTAACTTTACATTTGGTGAAGAAATGTGACAAGCTATCTGTGTCAAGCTCCATGTCAGATAGAAGTCCTTTTAAACCCTGACACTTAACTATGCTGTAATCTGGAAAATGGATTGAATCTGCAAAGAATATAGTGTGTTATCTTCAAGGCAGATAACCCAATGAAAATAAGTATGGGAGGGGAGGACATTCTAATCCGTAAATCACTGCACACATTTATTTGAAGGAAATAAATGAAGAATTTGGGATTCTAGTGAAAGGAATATGTTTTAACTGTTCAATCTAATTGGAAGCAGAAGGAACTGAAACAGAGGGAGGGAGTGGGAGAGGGAGAGAGAGAGAGAGACTGATGCAAAGTCACCTAGCTGGCTTTGTGTCTCAGGCAGGACTACAATTCATGTCTCCTAGTTTCTAACTTGGTGCCTTAATCACTACACCAAATTGGCTCTTCTTTGCATTGGGCAGGACAAATTGTACATTTGAGGAATTTAATTTCTGAAATCATCTATGTATATTGTGGTAAAGGTATATTATGTTATGTTATGTTATATTATATTACATTACATTACATTACATTACATTACATTACATTACATTATATTATATTATACTATATTATATTATATTATAATGATATTGCTTCCAAATAGAGATTTCCTAGCACTATTAATCTGAAAGTATTGTGCGCTATTCCCTGTTTCACATTTTAATTTTTTTAAAAAATATTAAACAAGGAAGAAATAGAAAAAATACAGAAGGCTTCCATCTAGACTCTCCCTTCCCTTTAAAGTTTGATGAATCAGGTAAGGCAATAGTACATTTCTCACCTAGGAAAGTTGGCTTTTCTGTACTCTAACAAGGCTATAATTGTTTGCTCGTCAATGTGTTAAGCTAATGTGTTTATTTGCAGTATTGATATGTTCAGACATTTTTTAAAATCTGTGGATTTTTTTCCCTCCTAGTGCACAGTAACCTGTGGGCAAGGCTATCAGATGAGGGCAGTGAAATGTGTAGTTGGTGCCTACATTTCTGTAGTAGATGATAACGAATGCAATGCTGCAACCAAGCCAACAGATACACAGGTAGGTGCGGTGTGGTGATAGAGTAGGCATGCAGTAATTTCAGGGGGGCAAATCAATAGTACCACCATGTTCTTATCTAAATTGTACTGTATATGTTTATAAATGCTAGCTGTTTTTTGTGTAATGGGAATACATTTTGACACCAAATTCCACCATGGTTTAGATTTCCAGAGAGATGTTACCTGATACGATAAAACTAGTAATATATTGTCAAGTGCAAGAAATCAAGAAATCCAGGAAGTTCAAATGAATATAAAGGTTTATTGCAAATTTAAGCTGTCTACAAGAATCTGAACTACTAACAGTCAAAGCAAATTCTCAGTAGATAAGAGTCAATTTAAGGTGGACTGGACTTAGATTGCTTGTGAGTATGAAGGGACTCGAGGCTGAGGATGCATTTGAGTCCTCCCTGGTCATCTCATACATATATACATGCATATATCATATATATTTATATTTTATGATTTGCCAGATATACTGGATATATCCACTTTTAATAGAAGATGAGTCAGTTATATTTGTGTTTGGACAGGGAGGGAATTTAATATTGTAATCTTTTATCGTTGTAGTAGTGCAATCCCTAAGCTGCAATGAAATACTTGTGATGTCAGTTATTGGATAGTGTACTTATTTTTGTAATGTTCTTATTTATGAAATAGGACTGTGAAACGGTGTCATGTCGTCTCCATCCTAGCAGCCCAGAAATCAAGCAAAGCAGTCACAGAACCCAGTGGAGATTTGGATCCTGGACTTCTGTATGTTAAAACTAATCAAATTAGTTTACATTTTTATTTCCCTTGATAGAATAGAATAACAGAGTCTAGTTGAAGGTCTTCTAGTCCTATCCCCTGCCTAGGCAGGAAACCCTACACCACTTCAGATAAATGTCTATCCAACATTTTTTTAAAAACTTCCAGTCTTGGAGCATTCACAACTTGTTCCACTGATTAATTGTTCTAACTATTAAGAAATTTCTCCTTAGTTCTAAGTTGCTTCTCTCCTTGATTCGTTTCCACCCAATGCTTCTTGTCCTGCCCTCAGGTGCTTTGGAGAATATCTTGACTCCCTCTGCTTTGTGGCAGCCCCTGAGATATTGGAACACTGCTATCGTGTCTCCCCTAGTCCTTCTTTTCCATTAGACTAGATAATTAATCCTATCTGTGTAAAGATTATGATACACTTGTCAAAGGAATCTGCTTCTTCAGAGACATTCTTGTTGATCTTCTCTAGTGTTCTGCTACCTGTGGGAAGGGCACCAGGATGAGGTATGTCAGCTGTCGTGATGATCATGGCTCTGTGGCTGATGAAGCTGCCTGTTTCCATCTTCCAAAACCATCAGCAACTGAAGCATGTCTTGTAATATCTTGTGGCCGGTGGAAAGCCATGGAATGGAGCTCAGTAAGCAATTTCCTCGTTTAAATATGCCAAATATCTGCCCATTGATAATCTTATGAACATGCATAATTCACATTAAGAGGAGAAGATTTGTTTTGCTCTTGGGTGGAAGGCAAAACGCACATCATTGTTGGTCATCATGGCAGCTCTTCTTTCAAAATCTATCAAGTACCCTTGTTGGAACATAGCCAAGATGGTTTTACCAATGATCAGGTTAATACATAATGAAGCAGGAGCTAGTGTATACCTGGCATCCATCTCTGGTTAAAAAGACCAGGTACTCAGTGATGGCAAATACCTATACTCAAAGAGCTAGATGCAAGCATTCTGACTTGATATAAGGCAGATTTGTAAGCTGCTAAAGGAATAAAACAATGAGATCTGTTGAATCCACTTTAGTGAAACTTTTGGTACTTAAAATTGGTTTATATGTATGAGGATTTGTTTGTTTGGGTTGTTGTTGGGTTTTTGGGGGGGATTGTATTTTTTTGTATTTTGTATGAGCCATGGTGGCGCAGTGGTTAGAATGCATATTGCAGACTATTTCTGCTGCCTGCCAGCTGCCTGCCATTTGGCAGTTCAAATCCCACCAGGCTCAAGGTTTACTCAGCCTTCCATCCTTCTCAGGTGGGTAAAATGAGGAGCCAAAATTTGGGGGGGCAATATGCTGACTCTGTAAATTGCTTAGAGAGGACTGTAAACTACTATAAAGCAGTATATAAGACTTAAATGCTATTGCTATATCTCAAATTCTATCTTATTGCTATGGCCAGCTATTCTCTCTCTTCTCTTCTTATTAATGTAGTGCTCTGTAACTTGTGGGCAAGGTAAGGTGACCAGGCAAATACTCTGCGTAGATTACAATGACCAGAGTATCGATAGAAACGAGTGCGATGCTGAAGATATCCTCGCGACAGAGCAGGATTGCTCTATGCCATCGTGTCAGCAGATCAACCTGGGTAACAGGCCCGCTAATCCTTTTCCTTACCCTGACTATCATCAAAAAAACGATCGAGGAGGGCACCCAAACCGAAATCAAGGTCATGGACATGGAGGCAACCAGTGGCGAACTGGGCCATGGGGAGCAGTAAGTAGTTGCTGGGGTTTGGGTTTTTGTTCCCTTGTGAATCGGGTTCTACACTAGATATAACCTGCTATATAACACTCGTCCTTCCCCATGCCAATAAAATAAATGCTCAGCTATCCCAGACTGGTTTATCTATGCTTCAAAAATTCAAGATTTTAAGGAGTTTGCATTCCTTCTCACCTTCCCCACCAGAGAACCAAAGGTATGCAGGAACATGGAAAGGTGGAGAAGACATAGTGATTGGTATCGGATGGTATCTGAATCAGTGAAACAAAGAATAATAGAAATGATACCAATCGAAATCCTTGTTCCAAGGATTTACAAGTGGCTTTGCAATTCACCACCAGTGAAAAATGTATATTATCACTGCTGCTAGTAGCAAAAAATACAAAAGCTTTTATACACTTAAGAGATCTGGATTTATAGCAAGGATGAAACAGGAGCAGCAACCTACTCTAACCATCCTGAGCCTGTGACAATTAAATTTTTATAGTGCTCAAGTACCTGTGCTGGTGGATTTCAACGGCGAGTAGTCGTATGCCAGGATGAAAATGGATATGCTGCTGATAATTGTGATGCAAGGATGAAACCAGATGAGCTAAGATCCTGCGAATCGGGACCCTGCCCTCAGTGGGCCTATGGAAGCTGGAGTGAGGTAAGCCATTTAGCTTTAAAATCAAGTGAACTCTTTTACTTTGTATGTGATTACCATTACATGGTAATAATGTACCATTAAGAGCCACGGTGGCACAGTGGTTAGAGTGCAGTACTGCAGGCTACTTCTGCTGACTGCCGGCTGACTGCAATTTGGCAGTTCGAGTCTCACCTGGCTCAAGATTGACTCAGCCTTCCGTCTTTCCGGGGTGGGTAAAATGAGGGCCCAGATTGTTGGGGGCAATAGGCTGACACTGTAAATGGCTTAGAGAGGGCTGTAGAGCACTGTGAATCAGTATATAAGTCTAAGTGCCATTGCTATTACTATAATATATTAGTAATAGAGTACTATAATTACACAGGCTGTCTGATTGCATTTGAAAGTGAAGTTCATTCATTGTTTCAAAAGGGATTCTCCAAAAGTGTTAAGGCTTGGTCCAGGGATAATGATCTTGATCTGAAAGATCATAATTGTTAGAGCGGAGAGAAGGTATGCATGTATTTGTTTAGCTTAGTATGTCACTGACCACTGAAGTCCCTGAGGTGATTTTTTTTTTTAAACCAAAACATTGCAAACAGTATATCAATGAAAGCCTATAAAAGCAAGTGAAACACATAAAATTAAAGCATGATAATTAACTAATGAAAGTTGACTCTGGAATAGATGTTTTTTTTCTTTCCTTTATTGTATAATTTCTTCTGTTTATAAAGCTGGATATGACAGAAAGCTATTTTAACAGACCATTGTAGTAGTTGCTGAATCCAGGCTATCTTTAAGGAAGTAGTTTGGAGCATGCAGGACTTCCTTCTCCCCACTCTGTCAACCATGTTTGTGAGGCCGAGATCAGAACTAATCTTAAAAGATAGAAGGAACCATATTTTGGAATGCTTCATTCATTATATCCATCCATCCATCCATCCATTCAGTTTGGATGCCAGCTGACTCCATCTAAGTTTGTGCAGCTCACAAGAAGGGAGTAATATAAAAATGACAAAATACAAGAAATTAACCAGACCAAGTAAGAGCATAATCACAAAATAATTCCAAGATGGCAATTCAAACAATGAAGTGAACACAAAACATCACAAACAGGAGTGTCCCATTCAGATCTGGATAAATAATCAGGTTTTCACAGCCTTATTTCTATTTTCAACAGGCTTTGAGCTTGGAAAACTAATAGCATACCCAACAAGTTAATCTTATTCTCTCTTTACCTTCCTTCTCTCCCTATTTTTGGGGGCACAATCACTACTATTTCCAGTGTACAGGTAGTCCTCAACTTAAGGCCACTGTTGAGTTTGGAACTTCCATTACTGCAGTCAGCAAGTGAATCACACCCAGTTTTACAACCTTTTGTGCTACACTTGTTAAGCAAATAGCATAGTTGTTAAGTAAATCTGGCTTCCCCCATTGACTTTGTCAAAAACCCCTGGGAAATCACATATGGTGATCATGTGATACTAGGATACTACAACCATTGTAAATATGTGCCAGTTGCCAAGCATCCACCATTTTTTCAAATAATCATGGGGACACTACAGTGGTTTTAAGCGTAAGGACCAGTCATAAATCATTTTTTTCAGTGCCATCATAATTTTGAACTGTCCTTAAATGAATGCACATAAATCAAGGACTACCTCTATATATCAATTCAGAAGTCTGGAAAAATCCAGGGGAAAATAAATTCTTAGTTTGCAGAGCATCAATAATCTCATGTCCCACACATCCCATCAGTGCTGCTAACTCTCTCTGATTTTGTGTTGCAAGTTGTTGTTTTTTCCCCCTGGAATCCTATGCCTGTTGAATGGCAGAAAAATTAATGCCCAAAGTGGCTTTGAGTCAGACCAAGGAAGCATAAAGTAGTAATAATACTGGTACTATCCATCATTGTAATGTCTTTTCTTTCCAGTGTACCAAGTCATGTGGCGGAGGAACCAGAACAAGACTAGTTGTATGCCAGCATTCCAATGGAGAAAGATTTACTGATCTGAGCTGTGAAATCCTTGACAAACCACCAGACCGCGAGCAGTGCAATATGCAGGACTGTCCCCGAGAAGCTGCCTGGAATGCTGGTCCTTGGAGCTCGGTACGACCATAACATAATTATTTTGTTGTGTTACACATTATTCTTAGGAATGGAACAAAGTCACGGTCCTGATATTTGGTGATTTGTGGTTGTTTGCTTGTCTTTTTTTAAAATGAATCTTCACTTAAAATTCTTTTTAAAAGGAAAAAATAAAAAGAAATGATGAGTTCCATGTAGTATAGACATGTGGGAGGAAAGCTTCATCTCCCAAATCTGTTCATTTTTTTCAAAAGCACTTTCTGCTTGATAGTGAAGTTTTGTACACTTTATTAGCCCGTTTCAAGTTCTGTACCCCTTGCATCTTCTCATGAAGAATATTTAGTAAGCACATTCCATTACCCAACCTTTTTTCATTATTGTCTTCATCGGTCTGATTAAGCTCTTTAGCAACAGTTTGAATCCTCTGCAAAAGTGGCTTGGAATCTTAAATCTCATCTTAAAATACTGCCCTCTTTTTTTGCGTACTTACTTCTAGGTGTAGCACGAACTTAACTGTCTGAGAACTTTTTTTTTTAAAAAAAAAAATAAGAATCAATTGAAATAAGGGCCTTTTCATGCAACCTCCATCCTGGTCTGCAGCAGATACTCTGCAGCATATACTCTGCAGCAACTTCACAGCATTGGGATAGTATCCCCACTACTGAGCTCTTAACCCCATCTTGCCAACAGTGCTCCCTTTCAGTTGGCTAATGGAAAGATGCACAAAATATATCCAGCTGTCACCTCACTCCACTTCCTCCTTTCCTTGGTGCACTTTTTGTTTTTTTTCTGGAAAGGAGAAAAATAATTAAAAACTCAACCCACTGCTTAGTGAGGGGACAAATAAAGATTCCTCCCGTGCAACTTTGGAGAATAAAGTAAAGCATAGCAAGGCAAGATGGCACCTTGCTCTTTGGCAACAGAAGGAGAATCTGAATGGATGGAAACGGGTGAGAGATCCCACCAACAGGAATTTGCTCTCTGTGTAATTCCAGAAGAGATTGCAAAATGCTATTGCTCTCAAATTTGTTCCGTCTCTGACATTTTCTAGAAGATCCTTAATGTTGTGGAGCTACTAGGGGAAAGTACCACTGTCCGATCTGTCTAGTCTTTTCTCCACACCCATATGAAAGAATAGCATACAAACAGGGTGATTGTGGGATTACATGCGGGAGAAACCATTACTTTGTGAAATATAGTTAACAGCATGTGGTATAATTCTTTGTCTGAATTTAAATGTAAAGATCGAAGTGACTTTCTTTTAACCTCATGTATCAATAGACTTCTTGATTGATTTTAATTAACAGATTAACAGAGTTGGAAGGGACCTTGTAGGTCATCTAGTCCAATCCCCCTCCCAAGCAGGAGACCCTACACCATTTCTGACAAATGGCAGTCCAATCTCTTCTTTAATTATTCCAAGTCCTTATTTTTAATGTTCCAAATACTATAGGTAGATCTCAACTTGACCTTGATAAGTAATGGAGAAGCAGGCAACATATTTTTTCTACAAGTCAGCGCTACTATGCTGGCATGTGATGCTGAATAAACTCAATTGATAGAAATTTACTCTAGAAATTTAGATATGACAAGCGTTTTGCATGTCTTAACTTGCAAATTTCAACATTTATCAACCCAAAGAGGTAGGTTTAGGAGCACCCTTTCTTAAGTAGTCCTACCTTCCTCAAAAAAGTTTCTGTTGTCTTATGTCTCTGAGCCAACATACAGTATTTCTCTATAGCAGAGGTCCCCAACCCCCAGGCTGCGGCCCACTTGTGGGCCACAGCCCCTTCAGAACTGAACTATGCAAATGGCAGAAAAGCACACATGCAGTTCCACTTGTGCAAGTCCATGTGCGCCTGCTTGCGCAAATGGAACTGGGTAAGCTCATGCACATACCTATCACTCACACGGAACATCTCTCCCCCCCTCCCGCTGGGGCACCAAGCTGGAAAGCTTGGAGATCGCTGCTATATAGAACAGAAAACAGCACTCGATGTTAAATTCAGCTTGTTCAGAAATTAGTAAGTATAAGGAAGAGCATTAGAAGATGCAGAGGCCTAGGCGATAACTCCCCTGTTGGGATCTGGGCCTTGGCAGAAATCAGCGATGCCAATTTTTGACTACACGCCACATAATAAATTTTTAAAAACCATTCATTGATAGTCCCAGGTTCATATTTAAATATCAAAGAATATATGCCGCCTTAATTCTCAGCAAGCTTCATAACGATTCAGGATTTGACTGATTATTCCCAAACTCAGAAGCTTATAATGATACCGTTCCATCTTTTGGGGGGGGCATATTTAAAAATGGGTCTACGACAATTCGCCATGGCCAACTCGCCATGGCCAACTTGCCACAGCCAACTCGCTACATGACAAAAGTTTCACTAATATCAAAGAAATAGTAGAATAGAATAATTGAAAAAAAAAGGGTATGGAAAATGGGACAGAATGAAATGTGAATGGCAACAATTGAAATTTTTTTATGTATTTTAAATAATTAAATAAGATTATTAAATTGTTCCAAAGTGAGTTATCCCACGGCGAATTGGCCCTGGCAAGTTGTCCTGCAATGAGTTGGCCGTGGTAAGTTGACTGTGGCAAGTTGTCCCATTTCGTTTTAAAAGAACTGAGATTTTTGCTGGGTTTTAATTGTTGGGGGTGTTTTTTGAGACTGGGTTGGCTTTTGTTTGTAACATGCTGTGAAGTGCTTCAGAAGTATATGCATATGTATTTCTAGAAGACATCCTTGTGAATGCTTTGTCATGTTCTGCAGATAGGAACTATCAAGTGAAAAGATCTCATTCATTTGTGGATACTGTATTCAGGGGAAGTTTTTTTTTTCCCTTAAATGGGACATTTGATTGATTACCACAGGTTTCTCTCAATCACTTTCTTCAGGTAAAAAATGCAAGGCTTGTTTATCCGCTTGTAATCTTTAGAATTGGGTGTCAAACTCACGGCCCGTGGGCAAGATGTGTCACGTGTTGGCCACTCCCACCTCCGGTTTAGCAAAGGGGGGGAAAGTCACAATACATCATGAGACAACACAAGTTTGACACCTGTGCTTTAGAAGTACTGCAGTTTGCATTTTTACCTATATTTAATTCCATGCTAGTAATAGATGGGTGTCTTATAAAAGGAACTGGGCTTCCTTCAGTTTTCCTGAGTTCCTGCAGATTAACCTTAAATGAGCTTAGCTGAGTTTTTCATCAAACAGATGCATGGAATGACAGAAAGGAGAGACTTTTTTTCTCTCTTTCTTAACTTGCCAGGTCCATTAAGGCATAGATAGGCAAAGATCTTGACCTCAATACAACCTATCTTCACAATGCAACTTATCTCACAAGTCCCAGCAAGGAGGCAAGGCAACCTTCGGTTGTTCACACACAACTCCCTGATGCCAGCAATTCTACTGGTAGCTAAGTCTTTGTGGGATAGCATAAACACCAATACATAAATAAGCTTTTTTTTTCTGTCCTGTGCAAATTTACCACTTGAAGAGAGGCCCTGAGCTTAACTAATAAACTCATCCTTCCTTCTTCTAATGATAGTGCAGGAGACACAGAACCATTGCTGAATTTCTGGACCTTTTAAATTATTATTCACCCCAACTGAATAACTTTAGAACATGACACATTAGCCAAATGGTAGATTACTGATACCCCTGTCAAAGTTGAATACAAAGCAAAATAAATTTTATGTCATTATTTTGTTCATTTAGATTTCGTTTGGCCTAATTTGACTCTAAAGCACTTTATAGAGAGAATCAATTTATTCAATCAATTTATAAATTCCCTAACCTTGCCTGATTTTTATATTTCATTTGCAAAAATAGTAATGTGTTCATTTATGCTGTTTCTGAGGAGTGTTTTGTAATAATTTTAATCTGCATACCTCAATGAATGGTTTAATAGCTATACAGAATAGGGCTGTGCAATGCTTTGAATTCAATTCCAAAAAGTGTTTGGAGTATGCAAGGACCCAAATGACTGTCTTGTCTGCAAATCTTTAAAGCAACGACATCATTTTCCAGGACCAAAAGGCAGTTGTACAATCCTGGAAAAAGATACAGTAGCTTTGGTGAGTGGCAGACAGGTGCTACATTCGTCAATTGTTTGGGGAATAGAAGGTGAAACATTGAACAGCCATAATACTTATGCATAAATCATATTTTTGTGGTGCTTTATCATTGCAAGGGACAGAGCTGTAAAATATTTTACCTCCAAGATGCTAGTAAAGCCTTCTCAATTCCAAGGGTTAAATTTACATGTTAACTTTATTTTCAAATTGTGTACTGAGAACTGCTGTTGATAGTGAATTACATTTACTTCAAGTTAAATTTTCAAAAGCCAAAGAGCATGAAATAAAAAGCTACTTAGTGAAATGTAGCCCTGTTTCCCTCCTGTAATTATTCTAGAATTCTTTGGCAAATTAAATGAAGTTCCTCTTCCTAAAAATGTGATTATTTTTTCCCACTCTTAATAATGAAACAGAGATGTCATTCAGACGTTTCTTAATTAGGTAACCCTTTGAGGTGTCTATACTTCCCAATGTCTTGTTTTATTTTTTTAATTAAAACAGAAATAAACCAAAGTCTTATGATACCTGTGTATTTTTAATGCAGGAGCGAAAACTAGAAATCTGACTTATAGAAAATATAACTTCGTTGGGTGATTTTCTGTGCATTGTTCTATAGCTTTAAAAATAAAATGCCCTGCTGTCATTTTATTAAACACAATCACAATAGTTTAAAAAACCGAAATCTAAAGAAGTGGACCTAACCTACTTAAATATTCTGAGTATTCAGATTCTGAAACAGAAGGTGATGAGAAAGTATATTAATTGCATAATTCCATTCTCCTTCTTGCCTCTATATAAGGTTTGATGCTGAAAAGGCAAATGATGGCAGAACTGAAATAACACTATTTTAGTTCAGTTCTTGCTGCTCAACATACCTTTCAATAATTATTAATCCTGAGCTAAGATATTTTATCTTTGCATGCTTCTGTTATA